ATATATGTGTGTGTGTGTGTGTGTGTGTGTGTGTGTGTGTGTGTGTGTGTGTGTGTGTGTGTGTGTGGGTGGGTGGGTGGGTGTGCTTTTCGTTAAAATTCATGAAATATTAAAGAATGGTGTTGCACGGAAATAAATATCAATTTAGAAAACTGATAATCACATCTGCAGTACATTTTCATCAAAGTGCAGTCGATGAAATAGAGTTCTGTCAAAAGTTTATGTTTGAATTTATAGAAAGATATATTAAATATCTTTATAAATTATTAAATATAATAAAAACTCTTCAATGGATAATATAATCTTTAAAGTTATTTATTTCTACTCCATTATTAGAATTCTATTGTTAATATTAATGGCGCGCTTCGCAAATCAAATTATTTAAATTAAAGTGAAATATGACGTTGTGGTACTACGCATTGCGCATGGCTATTGTGTAGTAATACCTTTAATTTTGCAGGTTAGCATGTATTTTCAAATAATAGTAAAGATTTAATAGTAAGATATACGTGATATATTGAGTTTAAATATTTATAAAATATAAAGTGACGGAATATATAATTTAAGAAATGTTTGCTTATAAAATCTTCCCTTACGTTTTATGCTAGCATTAGAATAATTCTGTGATAAATATTTAATATAAATAATTCGAAATATAATTCACTACATTAAAAATGAAAAATTTTATATCCTTAGTTATTTTACTATTTCTTAGTGGCTTTGTACAATGTTCTGTTTTCGAAACTATGTCATCTTGGATTATTTCAACTAGTAAGAATGTATTAACATTGTATTGTAAGAAGTTTGAATGTTGCAATGATGAACAAATACCTTACAAGATAGATAGTAAGTTATACATATTAGTTTTTAAATTAATATCTTATTTTTGTAAATTATCTTTTTTAAAATAGAAAATATTATTTATTCTAGATTTTAAAGATCTGTTGTCTAAACGAGTGTGTGGGCAGCACATAGCAGTAGATATAATAGTAAATGCAATTATTAGTCATGTAAAAAATTCTAATCCTAAAAAGCCATTAGTTATGGGTTTTCATGGTCCAAATGGAAGTGGTAAAACCTATATTTCAAGATTAATCGCAGAAACACTTTATGAAAATGGAGAAAACAGTCGGTACTTCCATTTTTATTATGGACTACAACATTTTCCATTAATTGAAAAATTATCAGAATATCAGGTAAATTTGAAATATTGTATAGATTTAATTGGTATATAGACTATTTTAATATACTTTAATGCTACATTACTAATATATTTAAACACAATCTACAAGTATTTCATTTAAAAATTTCATGAAAAAATTTCATTTTTGTATTTTGATAATTTTAAATAAATTATAAATCATATATTATTTAAATGAAAAATATTATTTTTTATATTTTATTCTTTGAAAAAAAAATCATAAAATAGTGTTTTTTAAAGCTATATAAAATATGTTTTTAAGTGTTCAATGAATTATTGGAACAGAGATAAATTATTCTAAACAAATTAAAAAAATACAAATTATTGATATAACATTAAACATTTAGCACGTGAATTGTAAAATTAATATTCTAATGGAATAAAATTTACAAAAATTTACCAATGATGTAAAATGCTTAATCATTTAATAATTATATTTCTGAAAACTTATACTGATATATTTATTATAAATATTGATAAAAATATGATATACAAATAAAATGGTTAAAATACCAAAATTATGAAATATTTTAGTCATATGTTTTATTTAATGTCTTAGTATTTTTTAGGACAAATTGAGGACAGATATTGATACAGCTATTAAAAAGTGTGGAAAGTCATTATTTATATTTGATGGAGTTGATCAGATGCCTCCTGGATTATTAAACATACTAATGCCTTTTCTCGATTGTCCTCATTGTGATAAAGAGAAAACAGAAAAGAATAAAGCTATTTTTATATTTTTAACTAATGCAGGAAGTTTAATAATTCAAAACTCTCTGTTAGACAAACTATCACAAGGTATAGATCGAAAATCTACAACATTTCATGACTTTGAAAAATTAATAATATCAGAAATATTCACTCATGATGGTGGCTTGTTTAAAAGTTTAATGATTAAATCTGATGCCATTGATTTTTATGTGCCATTTTTACCACTAGAAAAAGAACATGTTGCTTACTGTATTAAAGAGGCTTTTAATGAATTAAATATATCCCCTATTAAAAAAATCCCCTATAAAAGTTTAGAAAACAAAGTTTTTAAAGAATTAAGATTTGGACCTGAACCAGACAATTTATTCTCCAGTAGTGGATGCAAAAGAGTTTCACAAATAACTGGAAGACTTATTACGAGTTATAACACAAACATAAATATTTCCAGTGAAATTGATTTTCATAAAAGTGAGTTGTAAATTAATGTAATATATTAAAAATTGTTAAGCTGTGTGTAAAATAAAATATACAAGAATGTTTATATTTAAATGTATGTTAGTTATTTTTAATATACAAACTGTAAATATAAAAAATATAAATTATTTCTTTATATTGAAAAAATTTATACATGGTAAAATACATCAATGAATTTTCTATTTTGTACAAACTGTTTTTCACTGTTATAAATCATTATTAATAATTTAAGTTTATAATACATTGAATTTTTATATTATATTACAAATAACAAATAATGTAATTTGTTAATGCAATGTAATTATATAATTGTATTAATAAAAATTGCGTGAATACAAATATCTTTTTTAAACTGAAAATGTATGTATATTAACATATATATAGTAAGTCTATTGTTATATAAAAATTTTTAATTTAGAAATACGTATATTTATAAAAAATATAAGTAACGCTACATATATACAAAACGTATATTTGTAAAAATATATTTTATTTTAATATAACGTTAATAAAACGAAATTTATTACATTCTATTAAAAATAAATATTCGAATTTTCTTATTGTTAATTCTAATAGAAAATATATCTCCTTGTAGTTATCATTCCTAGTAAATAATTCTGCAATGTTAAATAAAAAAATTCTTTTATAAGAAAATATAATGTGTCTTATTAAAACAAAATCCCTTTTGTACATTAGTAAGAAATAAATGCAATGTTTCTACGCAACAGTGTGTAAAATATAAAGTATATGCAAATAACAAATGTAGATATCGAGTAGATCTAGAATAATTCAATTAGTGATTTACGATTTAATACAGTTCTATTATAATTAAATATAATCCATTGTATCGAATTATATGTGAATAATAATGTTTTGTGTTACGTTCTAGTTTTCCGACATCATCTAGCTTATTCTTATGTTTTAAGCTTTTACATTAAATTAATAATATAAAATATTATATACACTGCGTGAGTCTTCTGTTTACCTTAATTCTGAATTTTCGATGAGTTATTTTATCATAAATTCTTTAATCGCTCATAGTTCATTTTGTTATATTTTGTTTTATGCAATATCGAATTTAGAAAAAGTAACGATATTTATTCATTTTTTAAATTAAGTTAAACCTGTATTTATAAATATAATATAAAATATAATTATAAGCGAGTATAAATAAAAAATGATTGATATTCCTTAATGAAAAAATTGTAGTCTAATATTCATTATTGATCTTGATCTTTCTTGTCACAAACATCAATCGTACAAGTATCTATATCCGATTGAAACTTTTTTTTCAATTCGTCCCAATCGCAAATTTGACCGTTGCAATAATGTACGTATAATGGTTTCTCGCATAAGTAAAATATCACTTTATTAGGTTTGTTTTCTCCTTCGCATCTAAAATAGTAAAGTTAGTTATAAAATATGTTAAGAAATTATTAAATTTGTTTGTAAATTATTTATTTTTTAATGCACTATTTCTATAAGAGGGCGCGACAACTTTATAAAAACATGCGCGCTAAAAGTTCATTGCTGGTAGAATTTTCAGTTTCAGAGAATTTTAAGAATTATATTTACAAGTTTATAGAGTAATGTTTCAAATACGATTTAGCCATACTAGTAGAAATCTTTATACTTTTAAGTATAGGAGAAGTAGAAGCTAACGTACTTAAAACCGTTTTATTTGCATTATTTTCAAATAAGTAATAATTAATAAATAAATAAACATTCTGAAAATCGGTGTTCTTTTGATTCATATTATTTAATTTGTTTAAAAAGCGGTCAAATAGCAGAAAAGTTATGATCGCAAGGAATATGAAAATCCGGAAAGAAAGGGAACCGAGGTAGTAAGCAAAATATTAGCAAGGTTTATAGCTTTACATTTACCCGAGCAAGAGATATTTTAAGGTTTTCTATTAGAATATTTAGGTTCATCTAATTAATGATCTATAATTTCCTTTTGACCACTAGTTAGTAATGAAAGATAAATAAATGGAAATCATGACTGAAAAATCGAATTCTTGTTCTACGAACGAAATTATTACGCTGCTTTCATATATTTGCTACTACGAACATTTAAAAGTATTGCAAATTTACAAAAAATTTATATATATTCCAAAATATGAATTGCATTGCAAGTTAATCTCAATATATATTATAAATATTTTGGAAGAAATCGGTTCTTTTAAGTACGCTTTCGAAACAAGAAGTATTTAATCAATTAAATGTACAAAAGCAATAAATGAATATTTTTCACTTTTAATTTAAGAAATCAGACATACATATTTTTAAGAACTGAACTCCGATAATCAATATTTAACATTTTAAAATACAAAGCAGTAGAAAATTGAACTATGAGAAAATAAAGCGAAAATTAGTGAAAAATTAGCCGTTTGTTTTGCGTAATTTATCTCTCTGTTACGAACCTTAAAAAATTATTATTCTTATGTTATTATTTAATTTTATATATTTAACCAATAAAATTGTTTGAATAATAGTTTTATTAAAAATTTCATTAAAAATTATTTCTAAACTGTTATTCTGAGGTGTTTATAGATATTTTAGACTGTGCATTAATATATGTGTCAATCTTTTAGTTATAAATATAATTAATAAAATTAGATATTGTAAAATATGTTATTAAATTATTAAAATGCTATTAACTTATAAAAATGTTATTAACTTATAAAAGACAGCCATGAGGTTCGCCGAGAATGGTGTCTGGAGTGAAGTGCGATATTTCCTATCAACAGTATGATAATTTGATGCATTAATTGGTACCTCGTCTGCATTGATTTTTAATGCCGCAAGAAGTATTTGAATGGATAGAGTGTGGCCAAAATAGAAGATACCTTTAGGCTGATCATGAAGAGTGTCATTTTCAACCTTCCTGAAATATCATGATTGGAATTGTGATCTAATGTGTAATTAATAAATGCAAAGGTAATTTGTATATAACAAATAATCAAATTTAAATCATATAAATCATATTATATCAATCATATCAATTATATAATAATAACGAATAATGAATAAGTCTATTCATTTACTCAAAGTGGTTGAACATATCGGAGACTGCGTGGCAACCAAGTTGACCACTAAGTTTTCGTCCTGGTCCAGAAATGTAATAATACGACAAATCTTCAATATATTCCATGAGCTTCATTTCTTCAAAAAGAAAGAGCATACACCAAATTGAAAGTTGATCTGGATTCCAAGCTACTTCGTAACGACATGTGGTATATATTGCGTAGATTTCATCTATTAAGTAACACTTATTTTAATTTATTTGTATATGTATAATTATTAATAAATTAATAATATATATTTTTATTGAATATAATTATTTATATTTATTATAAATATTGTGTATTAATTATAATTTGCATATCTACTTAAAAAGTTTTTATCACTCTAATTATGGAAAATACATAGCACTTTAAAATATAATATTCACAAAGCTATATGTAAATATTAATTTTGAATTAGATTTTACATGTAAAAATAAGTTTATAAGTAAAAATACTAATTAATAGAAATACTGTACATTTCAAAATTTGATAAAACTGATATTATTTAATTATAAATTTAAATTAAAAATTTTTAAATATGAAAGAGCCTAAAATAAAATCAATAAAACGAGAGGAAAGATTTTTAAAAGCTCATTCGACGACTTTTATGTATTTCTATAAGTCTAAATACATGATGTCGAAGAAAGATTAATATAATTAAAATAATTTTATTATTTAAAATCTTTTTAAAATTTACATTTTTAAATAATTTTAATTTGTGTACGGAATCATACAATCTCTGTTCTTTTATCAATAGATGTTAAATATTTATAAGTAACAGTACTTACTAAAATTTAGTGAACGTATAAAGCCAAGTCTGGATGATACATTCTTAATTAGTTGTTGAAATTCTGAGGTCATGATAAATTTATCGCTTTCATCATTGTAATGATTTGAATCATAATCGTTGTACCAATTAAAACAATTCTGATATGGCTATATATTAAAAGAAAAGAAAATTTTCAAACGTATATATTTATGTACACGCACACGCGCGCGCGCTCGTACACACACACACAAACAAACAAACACATACACATAATACAACTTAAACATTTGTTGTACAACATATATTTTCTAAACATCAAGAACCTTTATAATACTTAGTATATTTATTATTCATTTAGACAAATGACTTGAAAAAATAACAAAAAATAAAAAAAAAACAATTTAACTTGTTAGATTTTGATTGTGCTCTTTGATTATTTACATTTATTTTTTAAATTCCATGTATTTAAGTCATATTTTAAGGCTGATTATTTAAATGTACAACTATTATTTCTTTCATTTGTTATATGCTAATGTTTAACTTATTTATGTACATAAATATATAGTGTATAGTTACTCATAGCATAATAATAATGAGTAATAAAACAAAAAATAAATAAAATATATTAATATTAGTATATTAATATTTCTAAACAATTTAGAATTTCATAACATTCTGTTATACATTGAGAATATTAAAATAAACCATGAAAATAAAAAGAACAATATAAAATCATTTATTATATATATTTTTTAATTATGTAGTAATTATTATATAAAATAATTATATACTTTTTTCAAGAACTTTTTTCAAAATTTTTATTATCATAATCAGAACTAGTTTTTATTATAACTTATTTTCAAAGTTTCATTTCTCATACGGTGATATGTGAATTTCCTTGCTTAAAGATCGACTTATTTCTAAAACTTTTCTAAAAATTAATTAGAACTTTGAACCTTATATATTATTGAAAATATATAAGATTTTAGCTTATTATAACCAGAAATGAAAGAAATATTCGTATATATTGATTAATCTATAATTAATATAAAAGTAGACAAGTGAAATATATATTCACTTGTTGAAAGTAGTAATATAAAATTATTGTCAATGAAAATCAATTCATAAAAAAAATGTAAACAATCATTATCAAACGGTTATATTAATATAACATTATTATATTCATTAGATATATTATTTATGATATTGATTTATTTTCAATCAGATTATTATAATATTTACAATTCATATTATTGACGTTTACAATTAAATTTTTTATAATAATTTCATATTCTCAAATTGTTATATATATATATATATATATATATGTGTGTGTGTGTGTGTGTGTGTGTGTGTGTGTACGCGCGCGCACGCGTGCATGTGTGTTTTTATTCATATTTTCGTTAATTCGTTAAAAATTAATTTTATAATTAATTAAATTTTTTATTTAATAATTGTTTTCTTTTGGTTAATCGAATCTTTAAGTGACGTGTCCTATACATTCGAGATAAAAATATAAACCTGTTAATAAATATACATACCTCTATAATTCTCTCGGATTCAGGCGTTGCTACAGGTGTTATGAATCCTTTTTTTAAAAAAAGTCCCTCAGTAAAGGATATTAAAGTTTCATTAGTACGTGCAGTATTACTTGCTCTAAACTGTAAAATTATGTTATATTAATTAATTTATATTTATTAATTTTTTTCACTGTAACTCTTAACAAATATATACATTACTAAAAAAATGAAATTAATTTTTCTTTAGGAAATATTTATAATCAAATTATCGTATTATTTATTAAATAGTGGCTAATATTTTACTTTATTGCATTATTCGTTTCAAATATTAATATTTAAAGTATAATGATGATAGAAATTACATTTTTAGTTTGCTAAATAAAGATTAAGTAGAAAGCCGTGTTAAATACTGGCAATATTGTACACACAATAGTAAATTATATTGCCCACTGATATTTTATTGGCGTTGTTTATTAATTATGAATAACTTAACTAAGTAACATAAAACAATAAAGAGTTCTTAAATGACAAAGGAATTAATATTCCCTTACAAATATTATATCTCAATGAAGCTATAAGGAATATTTTTTATAATTTATTTATTTAATGATACGAGTCAAATTATAGTATAATATAGTTGTTTTCACTTCATTCTAAACTAGTGCTGAAGGAGCTAGAGAGCACGTGTTCAATTATATAACATACACATCTTAGTTCAGCAATAATTTTATATTAATTTTATCATGTATATAATTTAGCGTAGGGCTACAAGATTTTCTGTACAAGCAGTAGTGTAATTTAAGATTTAGAATATATTTAGAATTTAACAATTTTATTCTATCTTAGAGTATTATTGTAAAATTTATATGAGATTTTATCAAATGTTTTCTGAAAAATTACCTTTTAAGTATATAGAATATATATGCATATTGTAAATATAAATATAGTCACTATTGAAAAGTTACGTATTACAGAATAAATATTATTTTAATTTTATTAAATCAGAAATGCATTTTCGTAATTTTAAATTTAAAAAATAATATAATCACAAATTAAAATTAACAATAAAACTTCCAAAAAAATATATGTTAAATAGATATTAAATCGGATGTTTTTCTAAATTCCAGACAATTGACTATATGTTGTACGTGACTTTTTTGTTTTCCTAGTTAGTATAGAAATATTTTATGAATTCAAAAAATAATAAGAAATTGCCTTGCTTTAATGTATATGTATTTTTTAATATAATCTTATTTACACAATTTGGGTTTTAATTTAATTTATAGTTTATGTTTTGTTTTCTTAATTATTGCTCAATTGTCAATTATATTAGTTTCAACTTAGCGACAAATAATCCCAGTAAACCATTAGCACAGTAAATTCATATTTAATTAATAAATGTATAATAATAATTATTTGTCCATGGTACATAACTAGTTAATCCGATACTTACACTTTATATCGGTGCATAATAGCGTGATTAATAGTTTGATGACGTAAAATTTGTTCTATTATAAAATTTAATTAGATTCATTAGAATTCTTAATTTTAAAATAATATAACTTTTTAAATATCTAGTAATGGGGAAATATATTAACAAATATAATTGTAAAGTAACATACAAAATTTCATTTATCTTTTCGCCATTTATGTTATTTTTATTCTTTCGACTCTAATTTAAGTAATTAAGCAATATTTAGTATACATAATAATATAATAATTAGTTATTTAGTTAAGAGTTAACTTCAATTATATTAATAATTATTGTATATACAAATCATGTTGTTCTTCAATCACTTTTATAAATAATATTAAGTATATATAAGATTCTACATACCACATAAGAATTAGAATTAATATCATTAGGATTTTTTATAATAAGCTCTGGAAATGCCTGTTTTACGCGCTCTCCTATTTTAAAAATTATATTCTTTCCATTTATAGTTATACTTCTCGAAAATTTTTGATTTACATTTTTATTTAGTTGCCAATTTTTCAAATATTTTATTTTATCAGAGGATAGAGAACCACCTGATAAAAATACAGTAAAAATAAAATTACATGAATATTAAATATGATTATTAAATACTGTTTTTGTTTGTTTAAAATAAAAAATTACACTATTCGTACACAAATACAATTTGTTCAATCTGTCATACTGTTTTGAAATAGAAAATCTTTTATAAACAAATACATATCAAATATATTAATATAATGTAAATAATCGTAGTTAAAATATTATTAAGTTACTAGAATTGTTGATACTTAATTTTTATATATTTTAAGTAACGTACATAAATATTCATACTTTTTATTGAATTTATTAAAATTGCAGTTGAAGAATAGATAATTAAAATTTTAATCATTTAAAATAATAATAATAAGATAATATTACATCATATTATTAATTTAATTTTCAATACGTTGTCTGATAATATGATAAAATACATTTGACATTTTATATTATAGTAAAATGATTATTCTAATATTTCTTTATTTAAAAATTAACATATTATTAACTTACGATTTGCGATATGATTTTTCAATATTTGATCCCGAAATTTTGCTAAACCCAATAATATCGGAATTTCATTTTCTGACGCATAACGAGTTCCATGTCTCATCATCATCCACATTTTTACTGGTTTACAATCTGAAAGAACGTTCTTTATGTATATTAAGATATTAATAAATTTTTAAGAAATTTATGTTTGAAATTCATGTTCCATTGTTTCATACTTTGATATATTCTAAAACTTATTAATTTTTTTCTTTTATTGCATATATTCTATTTACAATTGCAATTCATTTGAATACCATATTATATCTAATAAAACACGGCTACATGAAATACCTAATATGCACATAATTACACATTTATATAACTATAAAATATAAAGATTATATTTGTATTTTACACTTACAGCCTCTGGCTTTCTATATTTACTTAATAACAACAAAAATTTTTATTTTATTGTACATCTAAACTATTTAGTTATCAAACTTACTTTGACAGTTTAGTGTACACGTTGAACATTTTCTAACTATTCTAAATTTTAAACAAAATTTGTTTAATTAAATGAATGCAAGCATTAAAAATGTTATTTCTTTACTTACTGAGATTTGGTCGTGTAATTTTACCGTGGACAAAATCATAGTTCGTCTTTGAACTAACGAGTGGATAAATGTTTATTTCAAAATAGTGTTTACCATTATATTTTAATAGTGGCAATCCAGTTATTGTTGAAAAAAACAACATAAACAAGGAATAATACATTTTTGTGTCCATTTATTTACCTATATTGTAAAAATAGTTTCCTTAATTGGAATAATTATATTCTAAATGAAAAAAAAATCAATTTTATACTTGATTTTAGTATTTTTTTATTATTTACGATATTATTAGAGCATTATTATGTTATTAATATCGTACATATTATACCTTATAATTTGTCAATATATAATTAAATCCTGAAATACTCGAAACATTCTATCGAATGAAAAAATATAATTTTTCCTAAATATTAAAATTCATAAAATTGTATATCATTTTATAAATTATATTAAAAAAAATAATAAAAAATATAATGGGTAATTATTTGAATGTTTAATATAATTATAGAAAAAAGTAATATAATATGTTAAAACAGAAAAATAAACTGAAATATATAAGTCTAACAATTAAATTAAAATGATTTTTCTTATATAATTATTTTAAATAGTAAATATTGAAAAGATTATATATATTAGGCTTAGTTTTTTTTAATAATCTAAAAGAAACTTACTTTGTGTTATATAATAATCACTGATCTATCTTTTTTACTTATAACAATTTAATATATATATTATAAAGTTGAAACCAGGAATGGAAGTAAAGCTTTAGCAAGGGGAAGTGTTTTAAGTACTATTATCAAAATGAGAATTCAATAAAACATATTACGAATTTAACTTTATATATTCTTTTCATAAAAATGATATAATTGAATAAAATATTACAGATACATTGTTAGGTACAATTTATACACTTAAAGCAAACTCAATAACTGTACACTTAATATTTTTTATTTCTAAATTGTTCTACCAAGCTATTTCAAGTGTGTTTTACTTTTATATATTCAACGTTTACTCAATATTTAAGGGTGATAATGTCAATAAATTATGTAACTTTTAATTAATTAATGAAAATACTAAAGATTATGATATCACAGATAAGATTTGTATTCTGTGAAATATTTATTTTATTAATACCCAGTATTTTAGTACCGAATTTTAAAAATATGTACCTAATAAGTCTATATTTATTATAAATGCGACATAATCAGATAAAAATAGAAATTAAAATTTATATTAATTCAATATTCTGTTAAAAAATTAAAATAATTAAAAATAATAATAAAATAAAAATTATAATTTTGGAGTAAATACGTATAAGAATAAATTGAATAATTAATTGATTTATGAGTATTTTCCTGGTTATATATTTTAAAATTCTGAAAATTTTTCTAAAGAATTTTTTGAATTTACAAATACTTTTTTAATAATGAAGCATTCAGGTAATATAAATTCCACAGCAAATAAAAAATTAGTTTATGTAAAAAAGCCTATACTAAATATATACTTAATGTAATAATTTGTAAGATCTATCTAAATTTTAAATGTATATATAATTAAGAATTGGTAATTATGACAAATTACAAACAATTTTATGATGATGTGTTATTTGAATGAAACAAGAAAAATCGAATAAATTTGTATAAATTCAATAGAATATTAGCCTAAGCATTAGAGGAAAATGTTGTAATGTCTAACAAAATTAATATAAATAGTCTTTGAGTTTATAAAAATGCTAAATAATATCTAAAAACTTTTAAAATAAAATTTTGAAAGATAATAGACAAAATATTCTACAAATAACTATATAAAAACAAAGGTGACAACTACGTTATTTGCTAATTATTAATTTTTAAAAATAATATTATTAGTATCGTAAAAGCGTTCAATTGTTATTTTTCAAGGAATATGATTGCTATAAAAATATAGTTCAATATCAATGAACCACTATCATTTTTTTACATTTTAATTGTAAAAAGTTTATGTATGGATTTTTACTAAATTTAATCTTCTTAAGTTCATGAAAAATATATTTTGAACAACTTTTTGTGACAATTTTCTAATTTTATCCACTCCTTTAAAATAATATTAGTTATAGCAGTCTAAGAATAAAATACATTGATTTTTTATTGCTAAAAATGGTATTTTTCAAAAATCAATATTTTTGTCAGAATAATTTTTTTTTAATTATCGTTAATTTTTAATTATCATTAATTTTTAATTATCCAATATGATTACTAATATAGCAACCTGTTGTTTATATCATATAAATTCAACTTTAAAGCGGTGGGGGGAGAGGCAGTGATATTGACAGAACTACGAGCAATTGTTATCTATTCGCGGCACGCGACTTCAATTTTTAATATCTGCTTTTTCCATTACGTGGTTATTCGTCTGAATCCACATAAATGTGGTTACCATATTTTTACTTTTATTTGACTACTTTATTAACAAGAATTGCTTTTTATAAAAAATTGAATTAATTAATTCATTGATATTTTCGATAATATTTTCAAATGTTTCTAATTAATTTGGCGGATTAGTTCTTATTAAATATTTAAGTATTAAATATTTGCATATTAGAAATTTACTGTTTTATTATTTGATTCGGTATTGAGTAGTTGACAAGACTTAATAATATAATTGGTAATGTATAGATTTTAAATTATTTATTTTATATTGGAAATTAAATATTGTATGAAGAGCTTGTAATCTTTTTAAAAAATACTTAATTATCATTAAATATGTGTAGTACTTATATGTTAATAGAAATTATGAATTATATTACCTTTAAAATATGATTTCAATTATATATATATATATTTTTAATATAGAATAATATATCGGTTATATAAATTATCGGTTATTCAAAATTTATGGAATTATTTTTGTAAGTATTGAAAAGTATCAATACGATTTTTATTATAGACTATTTTATTAAATTTCCATACACTATTTACATATATTGTTTTATTTAAACACACAACATTAGAGTTTATCCATATTATAATTTTTTAAAAAAAGATTTATAAATTTATCGTTTTTAGTATTTTTCCAAGTATTACAAAATATAAACATGAAGTAATCTTTATTCATGTTAATAAAATCAATATGATTGTATAAGCAGTTAAATGTTTGTCTGATTACTGAATTTTATATTATTACTATCTTTTGCAAACAAATTTACTTTATAAAAATCGAATATCATTAAGAACTACTTTTCTTCCATGAATTGGAAAAAATTGTTTTTTTAATTTCATTTTTGTTTTTTTATTTTCTTACTCTTTTTTTATGTTTTCCTTTATATATATAATTGTCTTTATTGCAGGTTATTAAATCAGCAGAATGTTAGACACGTACAGCATATATAAATATACGGTATTAGGCTAACTTTAATAGGTACAAGATACGGTATTACGTTAATTAATTTTATTGCTTGTATTTAAATTAAATTATAGAAGAAAAATTTTAATTATATCATTTAAAATTATATTATAAATTTGAAAATAATTTGATTTCTATAATGAAATTGATTTGTATTCTATTATATATTTATAATCTGGTAATCCAATTATAATTTATAATTTTAATTCTCCTCATTTATATTAATTATTTTTAATATTATTTATAATATTGTTAATTGTTGACTAAAATTGGTTTGTTACTACTACTAATCTTATTTTCTAAACACTATTTTATAACAATATTTTATATATATGTATATATAAATAACATAAAGTTATATACTAATATTTTTAGTTTTCACTAATATATATATATATAATAAATTAAATAAAAAAATGTATTAACATTTACATTTATAAATTTCATTTTTTCATATTTAAAACTAATTAAGTAATCACGCGAAGTATTTAGTTTTACATCTTATAATACTGTTAAATATTTTTAAACTAAAATTCATTAATTAATAAGAAAAGAAAGTTTGTCTTTTGTACATTCATATAATCAAAGTTTGAGATGCACTCTATTTATAAATAAAATTCACTTAAAAATAGCAGCTTGTAATAATGTAAAGTGATCTAAGATCATTATTATATTTGAAATAACTACTGTAGAAATTTATTACGTTTTGTACAATATTCTTGTTACAAGGTATATATTATACTTATGCAAACAATTTATATTCTAAATTATATTTATAAGTTCCATTATAATTAGTACATTGTAATTATTAATCAATTATAATTATAATTCCATTAGGATATCAGCACAATTTTTATTTGCATTTAAAAATGATACAAACTTTTATGTTTATTTAATGATTTTCATGAGTTTCTAGTGCATAATTTTTATGCACATAATAATGATTGTATTCAGTGTTTATTACGTACATAACTATTTTTTAGCTATAAAAAAAGAAGTAAATGTAACGAATTTTTATTTACTAGATATTAATAATCTTGAGTTATAACAACGAATCGACTCTAGAGCTCAACAAGTGGATTATATTTTTATGATTTTGAAGATTTAACATTTGAAAAAAATAATGTTTTTCATTGTATTGTTTGTATTTGAATGATTATGTACTCTTTTAATCTTACAGTATCAGACAATTTTTTTTTAATCTTCTGTATTACTTTAAATAATAAAAGCATTTATACATATATATAAAATTTAATAATAAGCCTGAAGGAATATAAAGAATTATAATGCACTTTAAATAGTTGTATTTTTGAAAATTAGAAATATTGATAAAATCAATATCGCTATTATTTCTTTATACATTATTAATTATATACATATTAAAAGATATGTAATGTAGTGTCCGTATATAGGATGAGATTTTTTTTACATCAAAGTAAAGTTCAACAACAATTGTGAAGCAAAAGCATAATATAAGGGAATTGAAGCGGATACATTTTAATATATTAATTAGTCATCAGAATGTAATATCATCAAACTGACAAAAGTTGAATGGATCATTTTAAAAGATTATCCAAAAGTACCAAAAATTTGTGGTTGCGTATTAATTGGATTAATTTTTGATTTATTAAATAATACTTATTACAATAACTTTTTTTTAATGTTTTGAAACATGTCATATGTGTATGCTAATTAACTAAATATCTTAATATATATAAAATATAAAAAAAATATAGTACACTATATTTTTGTCATGTGTATACTATTATATTTATTTTATGAATTATATTTTGTGCTAGGTAATGTCGCAATTACTAATTTTTCATGCCTGGAAATAATTAAATGATTCCTTAGTGCGCATGTGTGCGTAATTGTGGTTCAATGATCTTACTCAACTCGGAACTAAACTTTATCAAATACGAGGAGTTCGTACACGTGTTTTGCAGGTTAATTTTGATTTTCAGACGGTGATCGATTTATCGATTTAGTATTATTAATTATGGATTCCAGTGGGTATGAAATAAGAATTGCTAGTGAGGAAAAGGTATACTATGAATTTAAATGCAATTTTCAATTCTTTTAAATTTGTCTACTTCAATAGAATAAAAAATATCAGTTTTTCATAAACATTATTAAATTAAATTATTATATATATATCCCGTAGTTGGAATATTTAATTATAAAAAAATATCTACATAGAAATTGTTATTTACATTGTACAGGGCTATGGCTTGTTTGTAAGAAAAGCCTATAAAGAAGGAGATATAATTTTTGAAGAAAAGCCATTAGTTTGTTGTCAATTTGCATGGAATGCAAATTATAAATATTTAGCTTGCGATTATTGCTTGCGACCATTAGAAAGTGCAGAAGAAAATGCTCGTCGACTGACTGGTAAAAACGATCTCATCTTACCTTTTCCTGAATGCTGTGAAACAGAAAAGGATTTAATTACAGAATGTGAAGATTGTGGTACCAAGTTTTGTGGTATCGAGTGTCAAATGGATGCTTGGGATAGGTTAGAAAGTAGAAAATTTATACTAATTAATTTCGTTAAATTATAGTTTTATGAATCTTTAAACAAACGAAATACTATTAAACTGTGTAAGATTTCTATTTAATATTAGGTACCATAAAAGTCTATGCTTACAAACAAGGCAAATCAATGAACGTCATCCATTAATTCAACTACAAGAAACGTGGAAACAAATGCATTATCCACCCGAGACAGCAACTATAATGCTATTAGCTAGAATGGTTGCCATGGTTAATCAAGCATCGGAAAAACAGTCTATAATTTCAATTTTTTCAGAATTTTGCAATAGAACAACGAATGATACACAAGAAATCACTCACAATTTATTAGGTGAAAAATTTATTGGACAAATCGATGTTCTAAGACAAATGATGCAAAAAGCGTTAAACACTGAATCTGTACCAAAGGTTAATTAACTTTATATTGCTAAGATCATGGATGTTTTATTGAATTGACAACACACATTTATAAGCCTTATTTTATTGATGTTTGTGAAAACACTAATATTTGATGCAATACAGGAAAAATGATTTTTGAAAATGATTTTATTTTTTTAATTTCATATACAGATTTAAAATGATAAAAAATAATAAAAATTAAATAAAATATATTAGTATAATATGGACAAAATTAAATAGATTTAATCAACTTAAATATTCATGTTGATAGAATTTAAAATATTTAATTTTTTTACTCCTTTAATATATGTTAGCCAATAAAACATTAAAAATGTTATCTTTCATCATTATTTCTAAATGCATAGTATATGCTTGAAATAAAATTATAGTATGTAATATTAAAACAAGGATTATTTTTCTATAAAATATTTTACTTTTTAGCATATCAAATCTTTTAATAATATTCCAATTTTATGATGTTTTCGTATTTTCAAGAATCAATAAAATAGAGTTATATATATATGTGAGAATAACAGATCAATATTACATTTTTCCTTAGATTATAAAAAATTAAATTTTATAAACGAAATCTTTATTATATTGTTTAGTGGTTTACTCCAGATGGATTCCAAGGTTTATTAGCTCTTGTTGGTACAAATGGACAAGGTATTGGTACCAGTGCATTTAGTAGATGGGTTAAAAATGTTTCCGCCTTAGAATTACCAAATGATCAGAGAATCCAAGTGGATAAAAACATTGACCGAATTTATGATGAAATGGATGAAGGTAAATTTATGATGCAACAATTATTAATTTTCAATTAATTCTGCTGTCTGTGAAATATATCAAACAATATGGTTGTTAATTTAAATAATCAAGTCTATGCTTGAAGTTTAATAATGCAATTGCTCGGTTTAAGTTCAGTTCATTCATACAAATTCTGTATCGAAAGTTAGATTACTGTTAAAGTTTAGAATACATTTGAGATTCTTTTTTATGTTAAGTTTTATACAAATATTTTTTATAGTACTGAGATTCATAAAACAGATTTAGGGATCAGTTTTAAGATTTAAATTTCATTATTTTTATAAAAAGTTTGCAAGAAAAAATTTGAATATGTTTTATCATATTAAAACACTATTGTCTTAATATGTTTTACGTAAATAATTTATATGGAAAATGTATAAATAAGATACAATTATTGTCTAAATAACAATTTTTTTGAAGTTTTAGATAAAGGTGTTATTAAATTATTCAAATAGAACATTGAAAATATTTTTAACATTCAATTTTGAATATGTTCTTATATCTATATTTATATGCATATTTATTTATTTTATATAACATGTTTACATTGTATATATATATATATATATATATATATATCATTATGCACTTTTATCATTACAATATAAAATGAATATAATCGATAAACACATAAGAATCTTTTTATTATCAGTCGTTGGTACTTTCCTAAACTGTGAGGGCTCTGGTCTCTACATCACTCAATCTAAATTAAACCACAGTTGTGTACCAAATGCTACTGTTGAGTTTCCTTACTCAAACAATATATTAACAATACGAGCAGCACGCGATATCAAACCACAAGAAGAGATTTGTATAACTTATTTAGACGAATGCCAACTTGAACGAAGTCGTCATTCACGTCAAAAAGCTCTAAGTTCCCTTTACTTATTTTCTTGTAAGTGTGCCAAGTGTGAAGAGCAAGTGTGTGATCCAGATATTACGAGTGATGAGGATGACGATGAAGATATTTAAAAGAATTCAGTTACCTAACAGACGTATTATTATATCATTTTGTATTTCGATGAGTTATTTTGCTACCATTGAAATGGTATAAAGTAATTGGGATTGAGCTTTATCACTTTCTCTCTCTTTTAAGAATAAATAATTTTAATATATTAAAAGTTTTATACAAACTTCTACTTTTTACATAAAACAAGTTGAATTGATATGTTAATAAAATCCAACAGAGAAAACAAAGCAGTAATCAATTTAATATTTTAGAATATATATAATACTATATATACAGTTTAATAATTTTGATTTTATTTATATCAATAAGTATACAATGGTTAATAATCAAATACAACAATATCAATTAATATTACTCGTATTATAACTATATTAATGACAATTTTATTTTATTGTCAATAGAATTACAACTATAAAATAAAGTTCAAGCATTATTAATATTCATTTTCCTTTTACAACTGAATTATTTTAAAAAATTTTTAAAATAGAAAGATATAAAAATTCTAATATATATCACCATTTAATAGATTCTATACCATGTTAGAAAGAAATTGAATAATACTTTGTCATTAATTGAAAAGCCTTTGTGTATTTTATTTATAATTATTATCTGCAAATAGGACGTAACCAATATAAAAATATTGCAAAAAATTTTTTGGTTGTAAATCTTAATCGAAAATTAAGATTCATTGTATAGTTTAACTTTTATTAACAAATATTTTTTAATAAAAGATATAAATAAAACATAGAGTATTTTATTTTATATTAATTTATTATCTTATTACTGTCTGTAATATTGTCTCGAGTTATCATTTTTATCCATTGATATTTACAAAACTTGAGTAAAATAAATTTTATATTATCATTTTATATGTAGAAATTATTATTAAGATTTATTTATTATAAATTAAATTCTTTTTTATTACTGATATACACAAAGTTTTAATAATTCTATTTTACAAAAATTCAAAATATAATAAACAAATAAATTAAATTAATAAAAACGAATAAAAGCTTACGTCCTTTGTGAGAAACATAAATTCCAAATAATATAGACCCACTAATTGAAATCGCTAAAGTCTTAAATTATATACTTTAGTTGATTGTAAAATAGTTTAGTCAGAAATTTTTTACAGATTCATTCTTACGTCATAAAATATATACTAAAATTACATATTCTAGTAACATTAATTATAAATTAATTGACACTACAATAAATTTGTTCAATCTGTAACAAAATTTAGCTTTTTAGTCATTGTGAATTATCTTTTAGCATTACATCATTTCTTCCTAATGTAAGTATGTTTGCAGCATAACAAGGGAGAGGTAATGTAAGAATGCCTTGAGTTATTAAATGTTTTAGAAATTGTATGATATCTGAACTTCGAAATTCTATCCTAAATATACAATATATAAAAATTATTTTTAAAAATTGAAGTATTAATTAAATATTAATATTAATACATCGACCAGAGTGAAATTATTCTAATGAATTTTGAATCCACATTAAAAAGAATATATTTTAATTAAAACTTACGCAATAAAAATACTTTCATTTGGTAATTTTTCTACAGCATCTTTATGTTTCCATTTTTCATGTAAACTTTTAACTTTTAAAAATTCAAAAATTGGTGCACTATTCTTATAGCATTCTATAGCATATTCTTTTCGTTGTTTGTGACGAGTAAAGTCTAGACCAAGTGTTCTAAAATAATAATACATATAAATATAAATTATTGGAGCAATTTTTTTAATACTCCAAAATGAATTGTTTTTACTGCATAATGATTTTTAATTATGAAAGTTAATATGATAAATGTATAAATCGACTTTATTCAACTCACGTTAATGCTGGAGGAACTCGTTTGAATGGTAATGGTTGACACAACAATCTACCTTCCATTGTCGCAGCTTTTCTGGACAATAACATTTTTATTAATGAATGAATATCTTTGCCCATTAACTTAATTTTTTTACAATTCTGATAACCTAAAGACTCTGTTACTGCCATTAGGAATTCATTTGAAACTCCTTTCTTAGAACAGAAAAAGTAGTTTTCATTTATTAAGAAAGAGAAATATGTTGGTAGAGTTATTATTTTCTTTCTTCTGGATTCTTCTTTAATAGCCAAAAATGTCAGACCATTGTATTCTACAGCTTGTGCATTTACGTGAATCTTATGTGCTTTTAAGTTATATTTTATTTTATTTTCAATTTCTTTAAGTGTTATAGAATTAGAATCGTTATTACCGAGAAATTCATAACCATACCAAACTTTTCTATTGTAATGTCTACTCACATCTAGAAAGAAATATTGCTTTATGGATTAAAAAAGATCCATCGTATTATCATATTGCTTTCTATTAATAATACAATATAAAAAATTAATTTTAGAGTAGAAGTTTTACCTATTACTTGTAGAGTGGTCATACGATCTTTCAAGACATTGTTGACTAAATTTGCCTTCTATAAAATAAATAAAATAAATATTATACCATTATAATTTATTTGTATATGGAATTCTGAAAATAATATTGAAAGACTCAAGAAAATGTTGTTTCATTTTTTAAAAATTTAATTAAAAATATGTTCTTTTACATTATTTGGATGCTTCTTTAAGTTAACTAACAATAACAGTCAAATACTTATTTCGAGTCATATAAAAATTAAAAACAAATGCAAAGTGCACAGTGCAATTACATTATATATAAATGATATTTAGTTAAATAAAATCTTCAAGATATATTCTAAGATATATATCAAGAAATACAATAATGTAATATTGTATTTTAATTTTAAAAATATTTAAAAAATATAAATAAGATTATAATAAATTATTATAAAAGAACTATTTGTTACACTTATAAAGATATCTATAATCTGAATTGCATGTCCTGTTGTAAAACTTTCATGATTTTCTACAAGTTTAGATTTTATTTTATCCCATTTAAATTCAGGAAATACTGGTAACACAGCTGACTCCAATTCTTCAAATTTAAATCTTTTTATCACTTTACCAATTTCTTGCTTTATATTTAATTGTTCTGCAAAGGAATTGTTAAATTGTAATTATTTATTTATAAAGGAATTTTATGGACAACAATTATAAAACTATAAATTACATTAAATTCTGTATTTTGTATTTCGAGTCAGTTCTTGTTTGAATAAGCATCATTATATATAATATAATTATAAATTAATACTCAAATACAAATCATCTATTTCATCAAATTTAAAAATACAATCAATAACGTCGTCTAATTTATAAAAATTTAATGAAAATTTTCGATTGAATAAATAATTAGAACTTAACTTACTACTTGTCATTGTGTCCTTCAGTAACAATTGTTTATCTAATATAAGTATAAATTGTCGAAAAGTATCAAAATCTGCTTTTTAAAGAAATCCTAGTAAAACATTTGAATATGACAACAAACATGGTATGGTAGTCAAAATGTATAACGATGCATCGTATCACATCATTATAGATTATTTTGAGGTTAGCTTGTACATTTGAAAATATAACAAATGGGAAAATAGAAATCTATGAAATTACAATTGCTTTCGATAAAAATATAATTTTTTTAATTGCGCCTTTTTCAGTTTTCTAAAAAAAATACATAGTATGTTTTTGATAAATATAACTTTTAAAAGTGTTTATTAAAGGAGGGGTTTATATCATTTGTTACAATTAAAAATTTCTAAAATATAAATACATAAATAAAATTCGTGATAATACAATATTAAATAATTCAGTTTCATAAACATTTATTATTTACTATGATTTATAATACTTGAAACAAAATTTGTTGACAATCATAACGAATTTTGTTTAAAGATGATGTGCTTTTCGAACACATCGAGATCAATATTTATTCATGTATATATAATATGCATTCATGTATGTACAATATTAATGTCATTATTAAAAATGATACTTTGTTCATACGATTATTAAATATTAAATATTAATTTCATATTCAACAAAATGTTAGCAATACGAAATAAAATGTTTTACTAATTCTTTACTTATTATATTTTCTTATATGTTTTTCAGATCTTGCTTCACCGTTTGATCGCATTTCAATGATAATCTGCAACTTAGATACCCCCTTGCACAAGAAAAATATGAAATTAACTTAAAAATTAATCCATAATTTTGTTATTGAATAGTTGTAATTCTGTAATATTAAAAAATTATCTGATCTCGCGCTTCGGTGTTGACGTCAAATGGTACTGCGCAGAATCGAAAAGATAACACATGTTAATTTCGTTAGATTTTAATATTTTTCATTGTATATAAATAATTAAAATATGACGCCTTCTAATTTAGACGAACATTCAGAAGAAGAAACTGAAGAAAAAATAAAACAGTTTCATGAATTAGGATTAGATGACAGGATTTTAAAGGTTTGCATTCGCTTTCTAAATTTCTATATTTTTTGAGGTTAATTATTGCTTGATTAAAATGATATTTATTATGCCTATTTTTTGAATGAATATATTGATATAGTAATTAACTAGATTTTTAATAGTATTTTTACTATATATCATGCAGTTTATTTGTTTTATTTCTAATAAATGTTAATTATGTACAAATTATATAAATTATTATTTCGTTGATATATATTGTCATTAACTTATGAGATTTAGCTTAAGAATTGTACAAAGATTATGTTGAAGACAGTACTGTATAAAAATTATTAATTGTAAATTATTATTTAATGTTATAAAATGAATTAATTACGTACATATAAAAGATATATAAATAAATAAGAAATAAAAGTTATTTAAAATTATTTAACTTAATATTCGCAATATTTAAAATATTGGATTGCAATATTTTTTAATTCTTTGTAATAATATTAAAAACTTCAATTTAGAGTTCATTGTATTATTTAATTATTTCAATAAGAGTGAATTTTTATTTGCAAATTTTCATATTATATAAATGTAAAAATCTGTATTTACGAAGTTTGAAACTCTGATGAAAAATATCTAAAAGTGAGTGATTTTTTATATATTTGTTAATTTAATAAAGTAACAAAGTATTAATATGTAAATGTATAAATATGAATATAAATGTATGTATATATGTATACTTTAATTTTTATTTATGTATGATTTATTTTTTTAACAGGCAATTGCAAAATTGGGATGGCTTGAGCCAACGTTAATACAAGAAAAAACAATACCATTAATATTAAATGGTAAAGATGTTTTGATAAGAGCTAGAACTGGTTCTGGAAAAACTGGAGCATTTGTTATTCCTTTAATTCAAAAAATTCTCTCTAATAAAGAAATCCATCAGCATCAGCAAATATCAGGTTTAATATTATCTCCAAGCAAAGAATTATGTAAGCAGATTCATGAAGTTTGTACAAATCTTACAATAAAATGTAGCAGAGATATTAAATTTGTTGATATTAGTGCACAATTAGATCTTGTTACACAACAACCACTTTTAATTGAGAAGCCTGATATTATCATTGGTACTCCTGGTAGAGTTTTGCAACATTTAAAAGCCAAAAATTTATATCTCAAAAAAACTATAGAAACTTTAATTATTGATGAAGCTGATTTGGTACATAATTTTTACACTGATTTATATAGAAACATATGACTATAATTTGCCTTCAAACTCTAAATTAATTTTGCAGATATTTTCTTTTGGTTATGAAAATGAAATTAAAGCTTTATTAAGCTATCTTCCAATTGTATATCAAGCAATTTTAGCATCTGCAACATTATCTGAAGATGTGTTGTCATTAAAAAAATTAGTGCTGCACAATCCTGCAATTTTAAAACTAGAAGAGCCACCGCTAGCTCCACCGTCTCAACTTACACATTACACATTAACAGCAGAAGAAAATGATAAAGCTACTATTTTATATACATTATTAAAATTATCCTTAATCAGGTAAATGGGATTATAAATATATTAGATTTAACTAACTATAACATTGCTTTAATTTTTATACCATACAACAGACAATTTACTTTATAAATTTTTTTATAGAGGAAAATGTATTATTTTTGTAAACACGGTTGATCGATGTTATAAATTGAAATTATTTCTTGAGCAGTTTGGAATTCCAACTTGTGTTTTAAATTCAGAATTACCAGCGAGTTCAAGGTGTAGAGCAGTCACACAATTTAACACTGGAACTTACGATATAATTATAGCTTCCGATGAAAAAGCTTTGGATGAAGTGAGTTTAATTTTCATTTTATATTTTGAAATGTGACTGAAGATTATTATAACTCCATTTGATTTGATAAAAAAATTTTAATTTAGCCTCATACAACAAACCAAAAAAACGGAAAACGTAGAAAAGATAAAGAATCTGGTGTGTCGCGTGGAATAGATTTTCAGTTTGTTTCCAATGTAATTAATTTTGACTTTCCATTGGATATTAATGCATATATACATAGAGCAGGACGAACTGCTAGAGGCAAAAATGAAGGTACAGCACTTAGTTTTGTCGCCGTTAGAGAAAGACCAATGCTAAATGAAATTGAAGAAGAATTGAAAAAATTATACGATCAGGAAAACTTATTTAAAACTTATCAATTCAAACTTAGCGAAGTAGAAGGATTTCGGTAAATATAAATTTCAATTAAAAAAATATTGTGCTCAGTTATTTGAGAAAATTTTTTTAATAATATGTGGACTTATATTTCTTTTTTAAATCATTAAATCGATAAGCTGAATTCTATTTGAAAAATATAATTATAATTATAATTATTTTGAAAGTAATTTATACATTTCTAGATAATTTTTAATAATTTCATTTAAATTTTTTATAAAAATTTATTTTGTTTATTTTTGATTGTATTTAAAAAAAAAACTTTCTGAAGTATTCCAAACTTTATTAATTACTTTAGGTATCGAGCAAGAGATGCTTGGAAAGCTGTGACTCGAATAGCAGTAAGAGAAGCTCGACTTAAAGAGATAAAGCAAGAGGTATTAAACTGTGATAAACTCAAAAGCTACTTTGAAGACAATCCAAAAGACTTGCAGTCTCTAAGACAAGACAAGGCTTTACATACAGTTAGATTACAACCTCATTTAAGAGATGTACCTGAGTATATAGTACCTTCTTCACTTAAAATGATCGCCTCAGGTATTCGTCATAATAAACGAAAATTTAACAGAAAAGCTTCAATTGGAACCAGTGCTGTCAAATCAAAGTACCAAGCGCGAGCGAATAATCCATTAATCGCCTTAAAACTTTTTAAAAAGTAGAAAATGTTGATTCATTTTCGCTTTACGTTTTACATATTAATAAATATTATTTGAAAAAATACAAAAATTTCTCATAGCCATTACATAAAAATGCACATGTTTTTTATTTTTTACTTTTTTAAAATATACAATAAGCATTTACAGCCTTTTAAAAATATATATAAAAATATAAATAAAAAAATTATGAGTAAATGATTAAATGCTAAACAATGTAATGTAATTATTAAGTGTTAATAACATTTTAATTTACATTAATATTTGTAATTTGTTGTAAATAGTAATAAATAGTACTAGCATTCATTTGATTAATTATTTCATCATAAGTTTTTATTGATCGAAAGATAAGAAAATTGTTTAATATATTAAATATTTCATATTTGAACTATTATTATCTAATTCTAATGATATTAAAAGTCTATCTCTAATTATTTTTATTAATGCTATTATAAATCAAATAAAATTCTGTTTATATTCAATCAGTTAAGATATTTATTTTTTATTTAACTTAACTATATACTTCATTTAATTCATTGAATGATTTATATTAAAATCAATATTTATAATTTTAGTCTATAATCATATTTTTATATAAGAAAGCCTTACATTCGAATTAATAAAATATAAATAGTATAGTTTTTTTTATCGTATCTTTATTGAATTAAAATTCGTTATTAAGAAAACAATTTACGAAATATTCAATAAAAATAACATTATTTAAACTTAAATATAAACAAAAATATAAAAAAAATATAAAGAATAAATGAATGCATTATAATGTAAAAGTATAAAAAAATGTAAAAGTTAATTTATAAATTTTGTAGAAAATATACAAAAGAATAACTACTTCTCAATTACTAAATAATAAAAGCACAAAATAATGTTTAATAGTCGTTTGAATTTAGGAAGGACACAATCAATTTACACAAAAACACGAATTTCGTTTCTTATTCCGTAAAACCTCCTAATAACAACAGATACCTATACAATAACATAATGTCTATATAAAGTTGCGTCGTAGCATATACGACCTCATCGGGACTGATCTCTATCATTCTTCCTCCCATTATGGTTTGTAAATCAAAGAAGAGGTACTGAAATATTGAATAAAATAATTGTTGACAATTTTATAATAATTTTTTTTAACGACACTAAATATATGTATATATATATATATATATATATATGTATGTATGTATGTATATATAACATTTATTTAATTTATGCTTTTATATATAAATATACAAATGTCATTGCATTTATTTATAAAAAGTAAGTAAATTTTGCGTTAAAAAATAATTTGTCATGAACACTCAAGCTACTTTCAAATATAAAATAAATACAAATGACACAATTATGAATTAATACGATTCTTAATAAATACTACTTAAGACATGCACTATATATACCATTGATATAAGAAGAGTACCGACAATAGCAATAGCAATTTGCAAAGATTCTATTTCAGTAATGTATAAAGCGATAGACATAGCCAACAAACCAACGATTGCCACAAGACTCACAATCAATAAAAATCCCGTATTTTTTGTCAAGTCAAACTGAAAAAATTTTATGATTGTTATAAATAAATTTTATGATATAAATTATATTATAATAAATTTTTTTCATATTTAAACAAACTACGTAAACTGATTACTTTAAAAAGAAAAAAGAAACAATATTTAATCTATAACTTTTATTTTAGATTTCATTTTTTCTATGTCCAATTTTTCATGAATAAAATTATATGTATTTTTATATACTTTTCTGATTCACAATTATTTATTTAAATGAAAAAATCTATTGTTTACACATTAATTAAAGATTATTAATTAAGATTTATTGTAAAAAATTCATTAATTTCTATAATGTACTTTTAAAATTAAGTATTTACTATAAAATAATAATAATAGAATTTATTAAAATGATCATAGGAAATTAGTATAAAAAAGCGTATTTGTCAAATTATTAGTAGTTTCGATTCTTTTTTCTTCTTTTTTCTTCTTTTTTTCTCTATTATTATTATTTTTTTTATTAAAATATGAATCTTTAAAATTCTTATTAATTTAATTTTTATTTACTGTATACTGCTTCACATGTATAGTTTTACTTTTTAATTTACGCTACATATTATAAATTAAGAAATCATAATTTGTGAAATATAATTTTGAAAATGAATTTCCAATAAATTTCGAATAAATCGTTACTTTATAATATTTATTTTATTGTAAGCCTTAATTATTTTATATGTAGCTACTTCATATTAATAATTTTTACTTAATTTTATAAATAATGAAGTTTTTCGTATGGATTAATAATTCGAAATTACTAAATTCTATAAAAAAAATTATACATATGAATGAAACTTTATTTCGAAAAAATTAGATTCATACGAAAGAAAGAAGTTTCTTAATTGAAAAATTATAAGCTTTGAATTTAAAAATTATGTAGTTAAAAGTCTTTAGCCATTTGAAATGATATTGAATTAGAATTTTGATTATAAATATACTGAAAAACCTTACTTTGGTACAGGTAGCTATCGAACAAATTACTAATGTTACTATTGCTGTAGCACATGCTGTAAATAACACGCTTTTTATTGAATAAAAAACGGATATTGCTGCAGTTAGGTATGCCAGTGATGCCGTCTGTATGAGAAAAAATTGGAAGAAATATGAAACAATATTATTATTATTAATAGATGTGGAAATTGAAAATTTCATTAGGGCTAATTATAAGTACTTTTTTATAATTTAAATTAAACTTATTAAATATTAAATTTTTAAATTAAATCATTTTCAGTAATTTGCTTAAAAAGCGAGTTTAAAATTTATTGTGTGATTAATTAAATAAATGTTTTTAAAAGATTTTTGTTTGTTTTTTTATAATTTACATAAGCAAATTTAAAAAATACAGAAAAAATTGTTTCTAAGAAAATGTTCTTTATATTATACATTACTAAATGCTTCATTAAATAAATATCTTTTGGCTTTTAAATTTCATACCATCGTAATTAGAAATATGACATTGCAAGGAATTTCTCGTCGTGCACACTCGCAACAGGAAATTGATAGATACGTAAAAATGAAAAGACTTCTGTATATAAGCAAATAAAGAAATGTAGATTTTTTAATTTAAATTTTAATTTTATGAATAGGTAGGAAAATGCATATACATACAGTGCTATTATCCATAAATAACGATACGTCAACATTATTTCTTTAGCTTTCTCGCTGAAATGGTTATATTTTATACTATTTTATAAATAAATTTTACAAAACCTTAATTATAAAACGTTATAATACATTAAATTGTATATGTATATATTATTCTGAATTTTATTATAAATCTTTTTATAAATTTTATAAATTATAAATTTTTATAGTTCTGAATATATTATAAATGCTAGTTAATGTAAACGTTTTGAGAAAATTTTCACGTTATAACCAATGTCTTTACTTCAAAACTATGACACAAATTAATTGTTTATAAAATATAAAATCACTGTTAAGTTTTGGTATAAAAAAATTTCTAATATAATTTGTATTTAAATCATGCAAGATTAAATCAATTGATAATATATTATTCGAAATGCTCATTCGACTGTTTCTATTTACTATCGGATAAAAAGTCGTGAAAATTGATAATATTAGTGTTTACGATAAACAATTTAGTATCTTTAGGAGAATTTTATTCAAATATACTATTGTTCTTTTTCATAAAAATTTTTCCAATCAATATTTCCATTATTTTAGCTTTTCATGAAATATTTATGTTATTTTTCTCAATCTTTTATATATTAATTTCAATATAATGAATCGAAATAAAGTAAATAGTAATTCATAATAATGAATATATAATTAACAAATATCCATTTAAACTAACAAAGGGATTGTAATTTTTATTAAAAAAACTACATATTTATATCTAAAATATATGAACTTGAATGCTTTAGATTCAAATGAGCTCGTACTACGAAAATTTTGCTAAACATTTAAAATTTTTAATTTTGCGCTTAAAAATAATATATCTTGTTAAATAGTAATGATTATAATTTTATTTGTTATTGTTGTATTACATACAACATGAAAAACATTGTTTCACTTTAAGAAAGGCTTACATGAAATATGCTTACACAAAGATAAAAGTGGCCACAACAAAAGCTGTAAAGATGAGCTGAAGTGTCAAGATAGAGAAAACTCTACGGATAAATCGCCTTCGCACTTTTAGCTCTCCAAATTCTCCAAAGTATTCTTCATTCGAAATATCCATGTTTCTGCGTTTTTCAATTGCTTGCCAACGTTGAATTATTTTTTGATTTTCCCTTTCACGTTGTGCAACCATACCATCCGTCACAGTAATAAGAAAAGGACCCTTTTTATGCATAGCCAAGTAAAACATATATATGAAGGAAACATTTTTGTCATTAAATATAATAATTGCAATGAAGATGAACAAGTCCCACTTTTAAATTACTAGATCATCGAACATATAGAAATTGTATTTAATAATTGAAAATGTATATGCACAACTATTTACTATTTACTAAATCATAAATTTACTTGCCAAATATTTTGAAAAAATATGTAGCTCAATTTTGACATACAATTTTACAAATTAAAATATTACGTTTTGTATTTGTTCTCCACGAATCAAAATTGGTAATAGTGATGGTTGACTAGGTCCTTGATTTTGATTTCCAGAAGCATATTTATCCATTTCTAGCTTTATATAAAATAATTTGTAATTATGAAATAATTAAAATTTTATTCAAAAAGAAAAATTTACATCTGTATATAAATTTTTATAGTAAATATAATTTACATTTTGTCTTTCTAATTATTTTACATCGTCGTCATAATTTAATTTCCAATTCATTTCATGTTGATATTCTATATCCCACAATGTATTAATTTTTTTTTGTTGAAAAATTTATAAAAATTCGACAAATTATATTAATTTAATATAATACGGCTTATTGAATAATATAATCAAAAATCAAGAAACATCATTTAAATTATACATTTGCCTAACCTCTGGATAAAAATTTGTTTTACTTAAGAATATTTAAATGTTTTTAATATACAATTACATAAAAATATAAAATTTCGTTAAAAAATAAAAAAAATTTAATTTACTTTGGAAAGAGCCACAATTTTATGATTTCTATTTCTTTACTTTCTCCAAAATCATTTTTAATTATAAAAAAAATATAAAAACAAATGTGATACTTGAAGATGCAGCTAAATTTACTATAACAATATCGCAATTATAAATTCAAAAGAATCTAAACTATAGAAATGTATATTCGATATTTTATACTTAAATGTAATATTTAAGTATTGCTATCAATAATAATAATCTACTTTTAGTTGTAATAATATTATTATCATGACAATTATTTACTTTATATTGTGTATTTACTATTTACTATTTAACCAACTTTTAACAAATATAAAGTGTGTATTTAATTCGTTTGAAACTATATATCAACAAATTTGATTTGATCAATTTGTAATTGATTGATTGATGTAGATCGGTTTAGAACAAATATCGATGAATCATAAAGCTTAGGCAAATATTTTTACATTGTTTAAACTATTTATACTTTATATGTTAAAACCATACATTTTTGTAATAACTAGTATCTTTTCAAAATAATAATTTTCTTTTTATATAACATAAATTTAAAATATATTTTTTCATTTTTTGCTTAAGTCTTAATTAATTTATACATTAGAAGAAAAAATATATTTCAATTCATTTACACAATATAATTATTAATATATTTTTTTATAGTACATAGTTATGTAACATAGCAATTTGTTTTAATCAAAACAAATAAGTATATAACATTTTTCTAACATTAATAAATATATTGATTTAGTAACTTTACTTATTTAAAGTAAATTTTTATAAAAACAATACTTTGAAAATAAAATAATCTTTAGTTTTACTTAAATAATCTTTAATTTTAACTTAAAAATTAAATGTTTTTAAATTTCGTGTTAAATTAAATTATTTCTCAGAGAATATAACAATTATAAACCTATTTTATTACTAAGAGATGAATATTAATATGCACGCATTTTTTAATATTAGTATAAATACATATACACAAATAATTGGTTAAACATTAATAAACAAATATTGGTTTCCGCAATTAAATTTTTATAGTAAAAGTAGTATTATTGTTATATTTTTTAATTAAACAGTAGATTTTAGTGACGAAAATTGAATTATTAATATATCAATTTAAAATTATTGAAGATTTTATTATTGAAGAAGCATTATATTTGGTTACTAAATACTAATGCATCGATTATTTTATATTTAAGACATTACTATAAAAATATGATAAATATTTTTTTAATTTTACAAGTAAATCGCCATTTTCCGTAAATTATCGTTCCTATTTTTTCAATTTGATAGATAAACCCATTGTTTTTATACTATACACGTTTAAGGAACATGATTAAAAATTTGACCTTACCATTATGAGTAATTAAATTTCTATATCAAAATTAATAATTTAGTAAATTAAAAAATATTAAAATAGTATCGTAATACAAATCAAATTAAACTATTTGTATAAAACATTATATTATATTTTCATTATAATTTTTTATGATATGAATTTTTTCATTGTTATTTGTCAAGACAGATAAATATTTTTGTTTTAAATGTTGTATTAACAATTAGTTTTAAAGAGCCTTGGCGTGGCTTGATCACATGGGTGCTGAAACAATGTGATATTATTAGTAAATTATTAAGACAGGGTGTGACGTATGTTCAGCCTTCTTCTCTTAGCGTGGATTTTGCCTTTGAGGTTACGTCGCCATTTCTTTACACCTTTATGTGTTTGAACTTTCCTTTTTTTCCTTTTTATTATTTGTAATTCATTACTCGTTTTTAAATTAATAGTTTCTAATTTTCATTTCTATGAGCATATTATACTATTTAAAACACTATTAGCTTGCACAGTAATTTATTAGATGCTTTAAAGTTATTAACAACATATTATTACAGTTTTGCTCAAATAAAATTGCTGTGACATGTTGAAATTTTCGGCAGTGAAATCGACAAATTATCTCTTCAGTTGATCATCTTTGAAAAAGGTAAATTAATAGAGACATTAAATTTAATTCTAGTAAAATTAACGAAATCCAAGAATTGCATTTTTCATTTTTAATTTCAATTACATTTTAGAACTTTTGAAAATGTGCTGAATAATGCTTTTTATGTTTTACTTTATTTAAATATAATTTCTATATTATTTTAAATGATTTTATTTATTTTCAATTATTAAATAAAATATTTGACAAGATTATTTTAATATTATTATTATTTTTATTGACTACTCGTATAAATATTGTTTTTGATTATTTATTATTTGCTTAGTTGATATATAGTATGTTCAGTCAATGTTTATAACAAACTTATATAACAGTTTTCATTTATGAAATATATAATAAATAATAATTAGATATGAATATTATAAGCAATTTAATGATTAAAATTAATTGGAATTTTCTAATAATATTTAGATTTTATGATTCATATACAACAATGGTTTATAATATAAATGTAGTATTTTATTAACGTTGAATATAAATTACTTTCAATTTGAAGTTCAAATAAATATGACAAAAAAAATTATATTTAAAAAATTAATAATTAATTTGTTTAATAATTTAATATTTTAATATATAAGTTTGATGCATATTCTTTTAAAAAGATCGTTCAAATTATATTACAAAATTTATTAATTTCTTTATTCTGTATTTTATACAAGAATTTCCCTTGAAATACAACTTTTCATAATGGAGAATTTCGTCATAAGAGTAAAATCAAAGTCTGGACAAAAAATTGTAGATAACTTAACCCCACAGGATACTGTAACTAATTTAAAGAATAAATTATCAGAGATCACTGGAATTCAAACAGATGCGTTACATGTACTACGAGGTTTTCCACCAAAACCTCTTGACCTGAATGATATTAACTCCACATTAAAAGAAAGTGATATTTTGTCTGGAGAAACTTTAATTGTAGAAGAGAAGCAGAATATGTTCAATAGTAAACAAAGAGTTGCAGATATGTCTTGTAAACATATCACAGATAATTTGGATTTTGGAAATTATCCAGGAATTCTAATGAAAATGGTTGTTCCCGCTGATGATTCTTGTCTTTTTACTAGTGTTGGATTTGTTCTTAATGGTACTTTAATTTTTAATACCATGATTTTCCTGTACAATTACATAAATTATGATATAAACAAATTAAAAAATTTGAGTATTATTAATTTTAAAATGATGTAGTTGATATAGGCATCATTTATATTCATAATTTTTTATGTATTTTATACCAATATTAAATCAATTTACAAGAATTTCAAAATTTCAAAATGTATGTTCAAAATATATTTTTAAAATAAATTTTTACTTTTTATAATATTTTTAAAAATAATGAAATGTTATTTCTCTTTAAAAACTAATATATATTTAATATATAGTATATTAATTAAATATGGTAATTAAAAAATACATTAACAAATAATTTGTGTCTATAACTTTTATTCATAATTAATTTATTATTTTATTTATTTATTGTTATTTATTTATTTATAAGTAATTTATTTGTTGTTTATAAAATAGGAAAAGTAGATCCAACTTGTGCACATGGTATGAGAGAAATTATAGCTAATGCAGTAGCAGCTGATGTAGATGAGTATTGTGAAGCAATATTAGGTAAACCTAATCAAGAATACTGTGAATGGATAATGAAACCAAATTCTTGGGGTGGAGCAATAGAGTTGGCAATATTATCTCGTTTTTATGGGCTAGAAATTGCTGTAGTCGATAGCAGTAACGGTATTATTAATAGATTCGGAGAAGATCAGCATTATGCTCAAAGAGTTTTTCTTATTTTTGATGGCATACATTATGATCCTTTATATTTGGAACCACTTCACGTAAGTAATTAGAATATTATAGAAATGTTCTGAAATTTTGAAAAACAGTATAAATTTACTATAGTATATCATATATAATAAAATGATTCTACTATAATTAAAAATTTCTTAATTACAAAATTTCTTAGGGTGAAAGTATACAAACTATTTTTCCCATTGAAAATGAAATGATTCTACGTCAAGCTGCTAATTTAGCCCAAGAAGCAAAATCTAGTCATCAATACACAAATATTAAAAAGTTTACATTAAAATGTATGATTTGTGATGTTAAATTAAGTGGTTCTCAAGCTGCACAGAAACATGCCATAGAGACTGGACATCAAAATTTTGGCGAGGTGGTTGCTTAATGTGATTAAATGCACTAAAAAAATAAGCATTTTGCTTTATTCATTGTATAATGTTTTGTTATAGATATAAATTCAAAGAACATGTTTTGTATAAAAAATTTATTGTTCATAACATATTAAATGTATGTAATTTTTTACTAATTTTATTATAATTTTTTTTTAAATTATAGTATTTTTTATAATCATATAAATAAATTTGAGAAATAGTTTAACATGAATTACTATTTAAAAAATTGGATGTTTATTAATAAAAGCAAAAATTGTATGCCAATGAATTTCTAGCAAATTAGCTTAGATCAGTGCAACGATTTAATATCATTTAATAAATGACATATAAAAAAAACATTGTACAATAATCTACAGAATAAAGTATAAGGCAAATTGTTGCTTCTTTTCAAGAGGTTCTATGGGAAACTCAAAAATAATATTAACAAAAGCAAACTGGGATACGTTTTGACTCTATTGAGAATTGTGATATACTCGATTGTGAATTAGTGAAATCAGGTGCTACGTTCCTTATTAAGTTCAAACGATTTAAATAATGTCAGCGAAATTTATTTGTAAATTACTAGTTTATTTTATAATTTTTATCTTTAACTCTGAATATTCTTTGATTTCTTATAAAGAAAATATATTGAAATTGTACAAGTCAGTGCACTATAATAACATTTATTTTGGATGAATCGATTAATAAATATAATTTTCTTAAATGTAATAAAAATTTTATATTATAATTTAACAGTTTTAATCATAAGAGATTTATAAATCTTAAACAAGATGTTTACATAAATTCGATTAAATAAAATTAAGATTTAATACTTTAATATTTATTTACAATTTAATATTTATATACATATCCAGATCAAATTGAAATGAAAGTAATACAAACCGTTTGTTTGATTCGAAGAGCACATAAATAAACTATTAGTCTTAATTATTTATTTAATTGAAAGTAAAAGTCTATTTTATACTGACTCAAACTTTTTAAAAGTTGTTTTTAACATTTACTATTAAAAACTTTATTGGGAATACTAATAATTAATTGATATCATGAATAATATATGAAAGTTACTAATTTATTATTATAAATATATATATCTAATTAAAACGATTGCCTAATAAATTTAAAATAAAATTATAATAAATTCAGTAATAGAATCAATTTAAAATTAGATTTTTCTAAGTGTGCATTTTAAAAAAAGTGTTACAGTTTATTTTCTCACAATTAAATTATTTGCGTGACAAATTATAGTAATATAATACTTTTTAAATAATAATCAAAAGTAAAGCAGAGTTTTATTGATATTAAATTGTGGTTGATAAGTAAATTGAAATAATTTCAGAGTTGCTTGTGAAAAAATTTTGTGAATATTAAAATACCATTTTCAATTGTAAATATAATGAAACATGTGTACATAAGTCAATTGCATGTGAATTAATTAATGTTAATGAACTGATGCAGTTGATTGCTCCATAAATTTATATAAATTTATATACTTCAAATAAATTATTGTAAACATATTATAAATTATATACGTAATTTAAAAAGGAAAAATCAAGATTTATTTATAATACTGTATTTTATTATTTGTAAACCTTTCCAAATCGAATATATATATATATACATATATATATATATGTATATATTTACCAAATTAATTAAGAATGTAAAAAATGTTTAAAACATTTTTATATATAATATTAACAAAAAATGTTATTTTTATTTTTACATTAGAAAGAATATTATTGTAATTTTTGTGGAAATATATATTTTTGCAATAAACTACGATTCAATTTAAAATGAACATTTGATTTTCTAAAATAAAAATATAAGATTTTGTACTTATTATTACGCCAAAACAACGAAAATCAAACGGGAAACATTTCGACTTATTGTGTGATATTCACATTGTTAAACTGGTTACATCAATAGATGGCGTACAATCTTTTTTGCTATAAACAATTGTGTAAGTTTAATATATAGCGGCAAGTATAAGTAATCGGGCATTACCGATTTAGTTTTTTTTTTGCCCAGAGTATAACTTTTACCTTGTTTGTTATATCCAAATCTTATATCCAAAAGATTGAATTCAAATATTATTAAAATCTTTGTTACCATTATGCTATTCAATCTATTTTGAGTCAAATTCAAAGTCATCTTAAGTATTAGATCACTTATTGTGAATAAGCAATGTTCATTGGTATAAGGACACTAGTTATCAAACAATTACAGTTATATTTTCGGTTAACGAATGGAAATATTATTATTTCTTCTTAATCTATCCGCCGGAGCAATAATATTAGTTACGAAGATCATTTACACTTTCTGAAAAGTCTATGAAACTCATTCTTTTCTATATTTCGTTAATCACAAAAATTTTTAGTATTTAAATAATTGATAAATATATGATGTATTAATATAAATAAAAATCTTTTTTTTTCTAAGATAAATATAAATAAAAACGAATTAAATCTTCTCAGATATATATTTATAAAGATATTGATAGAATAATAACATTAAAAAATAATATTAAAAATAATTCAAACGCCGAACTTTTAACCAATAACTAGATGTAATATCGTTCTACTAGTTATGAAATATATTTTGAAAACATATATATTTGATATTCTGAAAAAGTGTATTCGTATATAAAATATTTTAATAAAATTATTACTCAACATGTAATACAAAAATTTTAATAAATCATCGTTATATATTAATACAAAATTCATTTATATATTTGTTATAACAGTATATATTCCAGTCCTTTACAAAAAAAATGGATAAAAGAATGGATAAAAAATTATATCAGAGCTGTCTTAATATATCGACTGAAAAGTAAGAGTTAAATATTAATACTTAATAATGCGCAACAAAAAAGTGTATAATTGGAAATTCAGTTTGTCCTCTCTTGAAAGTTATATTTACATTTAAATTTTAGCTTACAATTTACACATGGGAAATGTAATAAATTTACATTCATGGGAAAAACTGAAAGTTTGTTATAAAAATAATAATTGTATAGTAAATTTGATATTGTAATAATTGAAAATTACATAAAAATAATTATGATATTTTAAGACAATTATCTATAACTGTATCTATCGTTATATTTTATTTTAATCCAAGTCAACGTCGACATTTATGCGGTTTCAGAGAAAAATGTTATTGATCCGATGAAAATATATTTATAACTCCAAAGTTTAAGCAAATGTTTAATCGAATTGTATTATCATTAATACTTGTAGCATAATCCGTTACCGATTACAACATTTGTCTTAAATGATTAATTCTGTAAAGTTCAATTGTGTGTGTATACATAATGTATAATAAAAATGGGTAAAAAGATACAAATTATCAATTATCCACAATAGTTCATAATGAATAAATTGAAGTAGAATAAGAAATCATACCTATACAAGAGACATTCATTATAAGAATATTCTCCAATGTATAATGTTGGTATAAAATATTTATGATCCGAAAACATCAACAAGATTTTCAATTAAAGCTAGAAGAAATAAATAATATTAATTAACAATCTGATTTAAAATTTATTCACTTCTACTTGTTAAACCATCGTGTTAAATTAAATTGTATCATAACAGGAACTCAAAATTATTATAAAAAAATATAAAACGTACATATTTAATAAATTAACTATTTAAAACTACATTTCCAGTTTTAGTACTATTTAATATAGTAATATAGTACTATTTAATATAGTACTATTTAATATAGTAAATTGCGTCATTAAAAAACAAACTAATAAACGTAAAATTATAGTACATTACTCCTAGACTAATGGACTGGAGAGCAAAAAAGCATGACTTTATTATGTAATTCAGTAAAAATTAATTTTATTAAGGATTTGCAAATAAATTGCTAATTAAATTAAATAATACGAAAAATTTCGAAATAAATAATGTGAAAGTTTTAGCTCTTTGAAAGTTTTATTTTTATAGTATATGACACTATTTTTATATTCATAATAATAAGTTGAAAGAAACAATCTTGGTTTTATAAGACGTAAATAAGATAATATTACATGGAAAAATTCGAGAAAAGTGCGGTTAATACTACATTTTTACTAATATTGTTATAATTTCCAAGTTATTTTCACAATAGTAATATATACGCTGCAATGAAAACATTAAAACTAAATGATTCATTCTTAATTGATTTATTTCAAATGCTCTAAAAGGTTAATAATTGCTATATATTTATGTGATTTTGTGCATGTTAATTAAGAATTTATGCGCAAAATTACGCATACATTGAAAATGAATACATTTTTTAATAAACTATTTAAGATAATTGATTAACATAATATTTAATATATTTTTAATTCTTATTAATTTTTATTTTGGTTCTATTATTATACTAATGTCTAGTGAAGTTCTATACAGCAATAATAAATGCTTCCAGTGATACAGCAAATAAAGTAGTATACAAAAGATTCTTACATTACTACAGTTTATTATCTCAAAATGTTAATAAACAAACTTTCGTAGATATAAATTGTTATGAATAATATAATATGTTATGTAGCATAAATGTTAATCAGATGTCAAAGCTTTTGATTGAGATTATTAAAATAAAGTATAATAAGGAAGTAATTGATAATTTTATTAACTGTTCCAATTTAGATAATTTATGATGCTTTAATATTGAAATTAATTATATTATAATATTCTGAGCAAATAATATTCTTACATATATGTCGATTCGACGTACGGTTATTACAATAAGCTTTATTTAAAGATTAGTCAATTTAATTTAATTTTTCATTAAAGCATAAAATTTGAATCAATGATATATTATTGAGTATTTTTTCTTGTTTAATTAAAATCTGAATAAAACAAAAATTTGTAAAAAAATATTATATCTAATATATATTTTTATTTGAGATTTAATTCAGCAGTCACTCTGAAAAGCTACTCTTATATAATATAATTTTCATATAACTTTTTATAAAATAAAATTTAATATACTATAATATAAATTTAGTATAGTATAAATTTAATTAATTAGTTAGTTACCAATACAATTGCCCTGTAATTAAAATTAATTTCTGCTTTATTTATTTATGAATTTTTTTAATTAATGTATTGTTATTTTTTCTAGTTGAAAAAATTAATACGTGACAGATTTGTTATGAAGTTTATTTTGATTAATAAATGTTTCATAAATTCATGATCATTAACAAAAGATTAATTATTTATACTTACATAAATAACAAAAATATTAAAATACTAAGTAATATATATTATATGTATGCTTATGCGTGAATGTATGTTTCTTTATGCGTGCGTATTATGCATTTTAGAGTATTTAAGGCTGTAAAAATAAATTAATAATAAAATATTTATTTATTTTATTGAATAACAGTTGCATTACTTCACGAGAAGCTTAAATAAAATCCATTTGAATATAGAAATATATTTCAGTTAAACGAGTGATGATATGTAATATTTTTACTTTATTAAATTTAATAATTATGTCTATCCACTTTTGGATACGAATATTAAAAAATATTACTTAACTTTGGTTTGTTTATTTTTCTTTTCTTCCACTTATTATTTTTTCTTTAGATACGTCATGTAAAAAATAAAAAAATGACGAAGTGAATATAAGCGCGTCGTGCAATTGATCTAACGAAATAAGTGCTCGAATAATGCCTCGTTATGTACCTCGACGCTCCCTTGCGCTCAAACAATGAATATTTACATCAGCATCAAACGAGAAATATCTATAAATAAATTTATACACGTGACATCAATGTGTGGACAAACAAGTGAAGATTTTTTTATATATAGCGATTAAACTTTCGAAATAGAGGGATGGTATTAATATTATTTATATTGGTTGGTGTTGCTAAGGTAATCTTTGCTAAAAACGCTCGTAAGTGAAAATTAGTTTCTTAACTAATTTTGGGTCTATCAATCATCTGAGCCTTTAAATGTTATTATATCGAATATTTGATAATAAATATTAAGTTTGTCCTTATGTTAAATATTTAAAATTAATTAAAAAATGGAATATTGATTACAGTATAACATTTATTTGTAATATTTAGAAAACTAAATGCCAAATTTAATCAATATCTAAGTAATAACGGCGACTAAAGCAAACATTAATAAATAAGCTTAACATAAATAGTGTTTTGTAAACTTTTGTTTTACAATTATTATACAATTTACAATTCATTATTTAAAAAAAATGATATTTAGAAGTTTGTGCTTTATTTTTTTAATATTAATTAAATATTAATATATTTATAGAATTGGAAGATGTGCTATTGGAACGAAAATTACTTTTCTTTTTGAGTAATAATAAATTGTGGCAGATGGAGATGGAAGGAAACATCATCCATGAGAAACTCGTGAACGACGCTTTTGTAGTTGACTACGACTTCGATGAAATAGGGAATCGGTTGTTTTGGATTGACCAGGCTGGGCAAATCATTGCAAGAAATATTAATGGTCAATCTGTCGATAAATGTATGTTTCGGTATTATTTAGCTGGTTCTGGGACGAGAATCACATACAACACCGTGACAGATAAGTTTTATATAATCGATGGTCAGTCACAAGAAATCGATATGATCGAGTCGATGGGTAAGAACCAAACGGTTTTGTTCAAACGAAATCCAATTAAAGAAGAGTATGTGATACGGGAAAAGCCGAGAAAAATCGTTCTAGATCGTCAAGCGGGCCTAATGTTTATTTTGACTGACTTGAATGGTGTAAAAAATGTAAATATTCGTTCAATTTAAATTGAAAAGTCTTTATTAGAATTATCAAGCTTTTAATATATATATATATCTATATTTATATATATATTAATTATATATATTATATATATAATTTATATAATATATATATACATAAAAACTTTATATAAACACAAATAAATGAAGTAACACATATTGATATTTTGCTTTGAGCTTCGAAATTTACATAGTTTCAGAAAATAATTTTTCATCATCATCAAATAAAAATTATTGAAATTTAGGTTTCGTTAATGTATAAGTAAGAACAGATATATTTTTAATAATTTGAATATCACATATATATGCATATCAATTTGAAATTGATTATTGCATAATATTATATTCCAGTAAAGCTACGAATTAAATTATTTTGGTTATTTTTTAGAAATGAATTTTTTTTTTAATTCAATAATATGGTGAATCCAGACAAATTTCAATGTAAATTAGCTTTTTTAGAAAAAATAAAATAATATCTTCAATTATTTTCTATTAAATTATTTTCTTTTTAAGTTTTAAGCTTTCTTCAATCGGGTTTTAATTAGTAAACATTATCGTTCACTAAACTTATCTCTTATTTCATATTTGTTACAGATATACCAATCAAAAACAGATGGTACTTCAAAAAAACTATTAATTTCAAATATTGGCGGTGATGAAATTGGAATCAATTCTAATCATAAAAGAATATTTTGGGCTAATACTAAACAAAAAGTCATTGAAAGCGCCAACTACGAAGGACAAAATAGAGCATTTGTTGCAAAAATTAAAAATTCGGTAGCATTAAATATATATAATAATGAATTGTTTTGGATTATTAACGAAAGTGGTGAGTTAATCCTATCGACATTTTTTGACCAATGTTGTATATATGTAAATTTAACAGTTATACTTAATTTATTATACAATAATATTATAATATAATTAGTTATACATAATTAAGTTATTCTTATACTTAAGAATAAGCGAATTTTTATATTTTTCATGTTTTGAAAATCGATATTACTGTTTGTACATATTTGATTATTTGTATCGATCTCTAAGGAAAGCTTAGATTAAAAGAATTTTCAATACATTATCTCACATTTATAATATTTTAGTTTCTATATGTAATAATGTAGACACTTTTGTGAAACAATTGATGATTTTTAAAGGCTGCTTGTTCATTTTATAGAAATCATATAATTTAAAAATAATTAAATAATTATATTTACATTCACGAAATATTATTGATATAAATTAATTTTATGTAGCAAATTTAATTAAACAATAAATACATGAAAATTTTTATATATTTATAATACCAATTTAGTAAATCATTAAAGTATTCAGTAAAGTATTGAGAATTTGTTTGAATTTAAAAATTTTATAATGTACCTAAAGTAATATATTAAAAAATACAATAAATAATTAATTTCATTTCAATTTGATTTAAAAGATGTATAAAATTCATCAATGTTACAATAGAAGTTGCGAAAATAAAGTTTATAGATGAATTTATATACTGAATTTTGTACAACTACTAGTTTACTATAATGTTCACGTATTATAGTTTGTAATTAACTTATAATCCATACTATTAAAATAGTTAAGTAATGGAATTAAAATGTTTAAATTCATATTAAACCGAAATTATTGAATACGAAATAGAAATACAAGTAAAAATTCACTTTATATAATTAGCGTATAAGGGTTTTGAAAACAATATTATCTTTTATTATTTCTATTTTTTTCTTTAATTCTTTAATAATAATAAGATCTTGTTACATCTAGAAAAAGAGTAATTTCACTAGTCTTTATTTATGATCTATCAGACTTTTGAATGTAACGTCTTTTACCTTTATTATTTGGTTTATAAGTTGCATACTTATCGAGTGCAATAAAAAGAAATTTTAAATGTATATATAAGATTGAAAAAATATATTGTATGGACAAATCGATATTCGATGAATTTAATGTTTTTAAATTAAGTGGTCAGCATTTTTTAGTTATACTTAACTTAAAAATGTTTTGTAAAAGGTAAAATTCGAGCACTTTTAATCAAAGCCAAGTTTAGTTTGAAATTTTAATAATCTATGGATTTGATCATTATATTGGAAGAACAAGAAATTATTAATGAAAGTGGTGAGTTCGTCGACATTTTTTGACCAATTTTTCATACATATATACATAAGCATAAATATAAACGATTCTTGTAATCAGATTATTTTTTTTTAAGATTATTACGATTGTTTTTGGTTTTAAGAAAATTTATTTAAAATATTTTAGAATTTTATTACTTAGAGATATCATGTATAACTAACTAGTTATCTTAAAACTAATTTAATTAATTTACGTATTTATCGTCCTCTGTAAAATAAATCTCTTTTTTTTAATTCCTTAAGTCAATTTTTTGTAAAAGCTTGAGCTTTATGATAGGATATTATATATAGTATATCGCAAATCATATTTCTTTAATACAAAGCCTAATTTACAATTTTTGATAAATAATACTCAATTAAAGATTATCTCATAATAATTATGCATTTAAACGTTATATTAGCAATATTATATAAGAGAATAATATCAGTCTACAATTGAATTTGAAACCATGTAAATTAACACAAATATTTATACATAATAAAAATATTACAGAAATTTTATATATCTGACGAATATTATCTTTTTATTTAGATTAATAAGAATTTGGGCTTGAAATTAGACATATCAAATATCGATTAAATTCAATAATCAATTAATTTTTAATTAATTTTAATTTTTAATTAATTTAAACAAGAAACGGTATAATTTTTTTTTTATTATAAATAATTATTACAATATTATTGATTCCATTAGGTAATAAAAATATAATATATACTTATAAATATATTGAATCTTGTAACTAATGATAGATTTCGAAAAATTAATTTCCATTTTGTAAGTAATTAAAAACAATTATAAAGTATTGGTAATAAATTTACTTCATCAATACAAAATATATACTATAAAAATGCCTAGACCATCAACGTTTTTACATTAATATTTAGCTATATCCGTTATTATCTAATAAATAAAACATAAAATATAAATTAATGTTCATATAATTATATCAATTGAGATATATGTGGTAGTACAGGTGTTAGTAACTATGCTGTCGTTAAAATATGTCCATCGATGTTTTTAAATATGTAAATTATAGTTTCAATCTTGATTGTATTACTTAATAATTTTATCTACATATATTATGTATAAATGTACTGATATATAAACATAGATACATTCAAAAATGAAAAAATTTTACATTCTCCAAACCACATGTATAATATATAAAAGCAATGAATCATGAATAGGGAGTTGTAAAAAGGTTTAAAATTGTATTTTATTTTAATACGATTTTAAGCAAATTAGAATGTAATATTAATTAATTAAAATATTTTTAATGGAATTATTTATACATTGATATAATAAAAATACAAGTTAATAATATATTTTTAAAATTTTCAACCATACATGTTCCAAACTAAAATAAAATATTTGATAGCGTACAAATTGGATTAAAAATTGAAAAACGTATTTAATAAGTGTATTTACTAGATCTATTATATACATATTTTTATCTATTTAAAGTCTATTTAAAGAATTTAATAATAAGGTATATATATTTTACATTTATAAATAAATTTTAATTATTTAATACTTAATAATTATTTTTTAGGAAAAATAATATTTCAACTGTACACAGAATTTAACACAGCATTATGCGAACAAATATTTACTTACCTAATACTTTTAAAAGTGATTCCTTACATTTTATCATGTAAAATTGATTATAAAATATTCAATTAATTTCATAAATTTCATTTATTTTTATTCGAACTGATATATAGCTTAAAAGTTATATTGTTTACAGAATGGGGATGTTCGAAAAGTGCTGTTTATGGATGCAGATTAGAATCGGGTACGTGCGAAATCAGTCCCGATTGCCGAATTCAATTGGAAGATCAATGTCGGAATCCACGATCTTTGAAAATTGTTGGGCTTCAACGTATATAAAATAGAAATATTGGAAGCAGTCATAAAAGCAAAAAAATCTACATTTACTCATTTTTTAGCATCAAGTAATACATTTAAATAAATTTGTTTTATTTTGGTAATTCTAATGATGAACTCCATGTATGAAACATTTTTATAATTTATATAATGTATGTCTGTATTATTTCTTTAATTTCAAATGTTTTTTTTTTTTAAATAGTTTTATAAATAATGTTTTATATATACTATAAGATAATGTAAACAATTTTTGTCTACATCTACTTTATAAATTATATGCTTTAAATAAAAAAATTTTTAAACTATTTTCAACTTGTCTATTTTATTTAACTTCTTTTTTTTGTCAAAATATTTTTCTATCAACGGTTCGATCTAATTTCTTTTACGAGTAAATGATAATTTTTCACAGTGGGCCAAGATGAATTGAGAAAAGTCTAGTGTGTTGAATATTAAAATATATGCACTGATAAAAAAAATCAAATAATTATTATCGATAACTGTTTAGATTAGCTCTTGGTTTATATTCTATCTCCATACATTAACTCTCCATACATGCATACAATACTCTATCTCCATACATTAACCAGGAAGAACCGTAAGATAATGGTGCTACAATTTTCAATTATTTTCTATATATATATTATATATATAATATTATATATATTATAATAAAATATATATAAATATTAATAAATATATTTTATTTTATGTAAGCATATAAAATATATGAAAAATATATTGTATAATAAAAAATACATATTTATAGTCTAAAATTAAATTAATAAAAATGATTATGAATAAAAATTTGCAGTGCATATATTGGAATATAATGCCGAAATAATATTTGTTATATAATAAAGCTTTTCGTTAAATGATATATTTAAATTAATAATATTTGGTTAAAAATTGTAATTATAACTACGTAGTTGATTTAGAATTAGGTATAATATTTGTTGACGACTTTTATTTTTTAGTGTACTTAGCTTATATGTATTCATTGAAACTGATTTCCTTGTCTTTCCTATTTCGGTTATTTTTATACATTTTTTTTAATAACGAAGAATGATTGATATAAATGAAAAATTTCATTATAATTTTATTTTAATATTTTGAAAATTTTGATGACATAGAAAAAATATAGAAGTAACATGATAAGAAAACGTTTTTTGTATATTTTATTTAATTTTTAATATATAATAAAAATGATTCATACTGATTGTAAATATAGGCAGTAATTTATCAATATTATTTCTATTAATATTAATGCGATATTGTAATATATTATACTTAAATATAATTTATAGTAGGAATTTGAATATTTATACAGCAATGATGCAAATTATTATATGTTTTCGTTTAGAATTTTAAAATAGAAATCATAAACTCCAAATGATATATTTTAATAAAATCTAGTTTAAACTTATCAGAACGGAAGTCTGTCCGCTTATCGTTACAAAAAAAAAAAAAAAAAAAAAAAAAAAAAAAAAAAAAAAAAAAAAAAAAAAAAAAAAAAAAAAAAAAAAAAAATAAAAATGATATTCAAAACAATCTTCCGGAATAATATCGTGTTTCTAAATTAAAAAGTCTTTCTTCTGAAGTACAACATTATTCCGGAGTATTTAATACTATCACGTTTGCTTTTTGATATACTTCCATTATATATGTAAAATTGAACATTACAATTGTTTATTATATTTTTAAAACAAATATAAAATGAATCAAGATATTTTTTGGGAGAATATAAACGTTTTGGCAAATAGTGGTATATATGTTTAATTATTTATTTATAGTTTTTTGAACGCTATTTTACTTCACATAAAACAGTTTTTGAATTTCAGCGTGCTTGATAATATTTATAAAACATTATAAAGTGAATATTTTTTTCGATTTTTCATTTAATAATATTAAGTTTTTTTATTGCAATATTTTACAATATTTGGAAATATTTTGTATATTTATATTTATATTAAGTGTTTCAATTTAGATACTGACTTAGAAGCAAAAGATAAATTTGAACATGAAAATAACTGTAAAACATTCAGAATGAAAAATTATATTCCAAATAAATCTAATAAAAGATTTTTAAAACCTTGTTACATAGCAAGCAGTGTAGTAACAGCAGTTTTGATAATCGTTACTATTACAATGATATGTTTTAAAGAAATAAGTAAGTATTATTTCAATAGATTAATACATATTATTTATTAATTATTTAATGTAATGGCATTAAAATGCAATGATAACTGTGTGTGTTCGGAATTTATAATATGAATTAATTTATACATACAGATATTCAACACTCATCAAATTTACCTTACACAATTGAAAAAACATTGTTAAAGGATGCATCCTGAATATTATAAAATAAATCGGTTAATGACCTATACAGAATTACGGTATCTTTAGAAATTTTGATTGTATAACTAAATTTTCTTACACATTTATCAATGATAAATAATTTTTTTCGATCATATTTAGACTTGGATATGGAATAAAAGACAAGAATTAAATAAGAAACAAGAATATTCATGAAAAAGATCTACATTTATCAAGATTAATTCTTTTAAATTTATTATCCTACTAGAGAAGTACAATATAGGGTTACATTTGTTAATTGATTTACGTTAAATAAAAATATAGTTCACCAAAAATTATCATGTATTTTAAAAATCTATATGTAAGCAATATTTAGATCAATTTTGACCATATTCCATAAATTTATTTGAAAATGGGTATTTAGCTTTAAAAAACTTAAAAATTCAAAGTTTTCTTCAACTATGAAAATAAATTTATGGTTTATTATAGTTTTTTATGACTCCAATATATAAATGTAACATCTATGCAGATAGATAAAGGTAAGTACTTAAGTAGTTAGGAAATTGTTTATAGACATTATTTACAAATGTATTACGAATAAATTATAGAAATTGAAGTCTATATATTACAAATGTAAAACATGTAAAAATTTTTTTTCAAATTAGAGTTTTGTGGCGATAGTAATGCACCTATCTATATATCTATAAATATAGATATCAACAGTCACATTTTTTCACATCCTACATTCTGTCTGTTTAAAATTAAAGTACGGTAAAGGAGAAATAAAGTTAAAAAAATTGATTTTCTTTTGTTTATAGTTTTGTTGCATTATGACTAATTTTCCTTGTTACAATTATAATTGATCCAAGCCATTTTTACCTTAAAATATTTAAAATGAACAAGAATACTCTGTTAAATAATTTTTCTTTTACGAAATAAAATACCGTTGCATATATATTATGGAAACTTTTTTGATACAGCTTATATATTTATTAAATTTTTTACATTGAAGTTAATTTTTAAAAATATGTGGAATCATTGGATTCAATTATAGTTTATAAATTACAAATATATATATTCTAATTAGACATTAGCTTCATAATTTTAATGCGTGTAATAGTTAATTATATTATACTATCGTTATTTTAAATTATATTATATTATAGTTCATTACATAATAATTAGTGTATTATTTAAAAACTACATGGTTATATGATGCAAAAGTGAAAATATTTGTTTCTATCTTCTTCTTTAAAATTAAAATAATTTAACTATTTTATAATATTATAATTTTTTTAAATAAGTAACATAATTTTTTATTTCAAATATTCATCAATTCAATTTTTTGTACAAATTATGAATTAAGAAAAGTCTAACTACTCTGGAACTTCTGGAAATGAGACTTTTGGTTTCCCCGAATTTTCTACATCAGGTTTACTAGATTTATTTGAACGTAACACTGCACCGGGACTCGGATATGGTCTCATTTGATAAAGTGGACCAGCTGCTGTTGTATCGGCACCAGTTTTTGCTTCATTATGTCGAGCAAGTCCATCCGACCACTTACCTCTGGGTATGTCACTATATGCAGCAGGGTCCATTGGATCCAAAGTTCGATCTTTTTTCTGATCTTTACTCTTTTCTAATTTTTGATATCGTTTAAATTGACTAATTTTATATTTATCCCGGTCTCTTTCATGACTATCTTTCTTATCTTTTTTGGTATCCTGTTCTTCGGTCTACAAATATATTTTGTTTATTAATTTTAAATATAATGTCTTTCTGTTTACAGATATATGTTACTTAATTTTGTTTATATAAATAATTCTAATTTTTAAATTATGCAAATATTCATTTCCACTTTTAATTTACCTCTCCTTGTTCCACATCGCTAGCACTTTCGTCACTGGATATATTGTCATCTTGATCTGCTTCTTTCAAATGCAACTCTTCCCGTAATTGACTTGCAGGTTGTGATATTTGACATTTTGGATGGGATGGAGGAAGCCAAGAAACTAAATCTGATGACCAATCCCAATAATAATGTCTTCCACTGAATGTATAGATTTATATTAGTTTATAATGATTATAAAAACAAATATAAATATAAATATATATTTATTTGTATACAAAAAAACCACACACACACACACATAAACATATATATTAAATATCTTACGTTCCAGGATCATAGATTGCTTTCCATGTTTCAGGTAAAGGATGTTTTTGAATCAATCTCATTTGTCTTTTTAAATATCGTTCTGTTGGTTGTATATGTCCTTTACCCCACAATTCCTTACACTTTCTTGTACACTCATGATAAATATTGTATTTATTTGGACAACCACTATAACCCTAAAATTTTAGAAATTTAATAAATTTTATGAAATAAACTTATATTTGTCCATACCATAGATTAAATAAATATAATAAAAACCATGAATTTTTGGGCAATGTCAATTTGACTCATTTCATCCTTGCCATTGTCATAATCCTCGGCTATAACTTCTTCATGCATTTTTTTTTTCGATTCTTTTTTAAAGTCTAAATATTGTATAAAATAATAATTAATTTTAAAATTATATAAAATTAAAAAAAATTGATTAATATATGTTAGGATTAATGTATGTCGAGGTTATATCTTACCATTTTTTTTATTTATTATTCCGCGTTTTGCGAGTCGTGCAGCTAAAGCAGCTGGAAGAGGCATTTTTATATTTTATTTAGTATTAGAACGAATTAGTTATTTATTTAATATTTTTAAATTTTCTAATAGTGGAACTACGACAAACACAAAACTTTATTATCCGCCATAATGGAATATTAAATGGCACCACGTACCGAAATTTTTAAATTCTTAAAATATTAAAAATGGTTTATAGAGTATACTTAAAATATACATAAACAAGTTTATTATATTAACATTCTTAATTCATATTTACAGCAATATGTACAATTCTTTTATCACAATTTTTAAATGATTTTATTTTTAATGAACTTCATTATCTTCATTATTATTTTTCAAATCATCTTCTTCAGAGTTTTCTCCACTTCCAAAAAAGGTTTCCTCTGTAAATATTGGGAACTTGAAATCTTGGATAGATTGATTGATAGAAAATTTTTGTACATTAGGTATTATATCCTCTGATTTCAACATTTTTACTCTTGGAAGAGGTATTGGAGTACATTTATTTTTTTGCAATTTATTTTTTTCAATATAATTATTTGTTGAAATTGCATCTTTTAAAACTCTTGGTGGTGGCAAGGGTGGGGGTGGGGGTGGTAGTGTTGGTGGGGGTGTAGGTGATAAAGATTCTGACAATGCTGAAGTTGATAGTTCTGAAAAAAAAGATAAAATAGTTTGTGTAATGCTTTATCAAAATAATAAAGATATTTGAAGCATTATTTTAAACAAAATACAATATAAATACAAAAAACATATTAACCAGATTTAGTTTTATCATTATCAGAATTTTTTAGTATTTTATTATACATCCGCTTTAATGCCTTTAGTTCTCTTTCTGTCATAGACTTTTGTTTTTCTGTTAGTGCTTCTTTTAATTCAGTCATAAAATTTTTAGCTAGTAATTTATCAAGCTTAAAATTTTGAAGAATACTTATATCACTATTTTCACATAAAGGTTTTAAATATTCTTCTTTGATATATTCTTCAAATACTTCATCTTCAATTTCTAAATCATTATTAATTATAACAATTTTTTCATCGGTATTCATTGCCAATAATGGTTCAGATTCATTCGTATCTAGATTATTAATCGGTTTATGTTGAATCTTAGCAATAAGAAGGCTACTAAATTCTGCAAAGTTTCGAGCATTTTCAATTTGTTTATAAGCTTCATTCATTCTTTCCATAATGGATTCAATTAGTTCTAGGTTATTGTGATCTTTTTCATCTTGAAAGTCAATAGATTCTAAAATTGATGTAATTTGTTTATATGCTAATTGAATTTTCTGAGATGTCAAATCTAAATGACTGTAAATATCTTGCCATATTGAATTTGGAATACCCCTATATAAATAAATTTCTGATCAATTTTTATAATTAATCAAATTTTCCTTTTAAAGCATTATATAAATTATATACCTGAAAACTCGTTTAATCGGATGGATTTCACATGATTGATAATTATGGATAATTTTACAGATTTTTAAATAATAAATCGATAATGGCTTAGTTAAATATTTAATAGATTTGATGAGATTTGTTTTTGGAATATGAACAGAACAGTCTTTTGTTCTAATATTATAAGCATGGGCTATAATAAATAACATTTCAGATTGAACAAGAATAAAAGTGTAATAATAACTCTAAAACAGATATTCATTTTATAAGTATTCATTAATTTAAAAATATGTATATTTAAATTGCATACTTTTAGTTCTTCATAGTTTATATCAGCATTAACTTCCTTGTTTTTATTTCTAATTTTTGTTAAAATGCAAGTTGAATGTAATGAATTAGGCAACATGTTTAAAATTTTTTGGGCTTCTTCATAATAAGATTGAGACAAGTTTTCAAAAACTTCTATCATCAATTGTTTAATTAATAATATAATTTGATATTTTTCCTGACTAATAATTCTGAAATAAATTAAAGAGAAATAAAAATAGAATAATTATTTATAATAATTGATTAAATTATAATTATTGATTAACATTAATGAACATAATTTTATGTATAAAAAAAACTAACTCATCTTTTTCATATATTTGATCAATTAATAATTTCTTGTCATAGCGTTTTAAAATTTTAAGACCAAGTTTTAGTAAGTAATGTAGTTTTTTTTGCAAGGCAATAAAGTATTTTAAATTTTTAATTGCATTCCAACCAATAAGTTGTTTATATATAAAAATGCCAAATGTTGTTAATGATATTGTTGCGACTTTAATATCTATTTTCTTAATAAATAAACCGTATGTAGTTATTGTTGAACCAATAAGTGGAAGCCATTTCCAAAATTTTCTGCAATATTCAAAGTAATATAAATTTTATAATAAAATATGAAAAAGAAGTTTTTACAGCTACATAATGTGATACTAGCCGATATAATGAAATTTGTTTCTCTTCAAAAAAATTATTTATAATAATAGCGTGATCATCTAGCAAGATATTTCCTTCTAAAATGATTTCTAATACTTTTTTTATTAATTCATCATCCTATAAGACATTTAAAAATTTTATTTAATATTATTTATAAAGAATAATAATTAAAATATCTTACTTGAAAAATATATTGATATGTTATTTTAATTTTGTCATTAATAGTTTTATTTAGTAATTGAAAATCCTATAAAACAAAAGAAAAATAAAATTAAAGATTTATGATATTCACATTATATAGACCGAAGAGACTAATTTCCTACATCTACTTTTGCCAAATCTATTTCAAAAGAAGTACATTCAGTTTTAGCTTTAGGTGTTGAGTTAAAATCAGAATATCCCATATTTATTAAAGCTGTATGCAAATCACTTCCCTGTAAATAAAATTAGTTATTTTAGAATTTATAAGAATTTAACCTACAGATATAATATATAACTATAATTTATTATAATTATTACTTTTTTATTATTGATTATATTATCTAAGATGAGTTAATTAAAATAATATTCATAAAATGTATTAATGTAATCATACCTCCAATATAACATCTTCATCTTCATCTAAAAGAGTTAAATGATCCTCGTTCATTTTTCTATTAAATTGTTGAGGTTATAATTTCTATAAATGAAATTTAAATCATAAAATTATACATAAGTAGTTCGGAAGTGTTATTTTAGTTTTGTATAAATTTTAAGTATTTTATAAATTTTCTGTAGAAATATAATTAAAATTTTTGTGTAACTTATATATTTACATTTATAGACATACTCAACATTGCTTATCTTTGATTACCTTTCAATTGGAACATGAATGCAAAATTTTAATACAAAAGTCAACTATAGACTAATCAGATATTTAAAATTGTATTTGATTTTATTTTAGTTTAAACAGTATTGACATGTATTTTACTCGTAATATAATTACGAGTTTATTTAAATTTGTTTTAAATAAAACACTATTAATAAGTTATTAATTAGATAGTTATTTATAAGTCTGGTTAACTTAGTTTATTGTAGAAGGATAACCAAATTAATATTCATAATTGCAGATGCAATATGAAAACATGTTTCCACATCATTATAAATATATTATCATTTTAAATAAATTTTATTTTAAATAAAAATATAGTTTAATATAAGTAAATAATAAGCAAATAATTGTTTATTTAAAATTTTTATTAGCATTTATAGTAATGAATAATTTTTTTTAAATTGAAGTCATATAAAAACATTTCTGGAATTAAAAATAATATATTAGTACAAATCATGTACGAATCACCAACATAATTGGCAGAAGAATAAGATATTATATACCTTCTTAATAATTATTGTTTAGTTTATTTTAATAAAAATAAATATCTACTACTCGTATATCCTTATTAGAAGAGATTAACTATCATTAGGATTACATATTATAACAAAGGAATATATTATCAGATTTCTTCCCAATTGAAAGTTGAGATTGAAGCCAACTGTGTATAAATTCATAGGTGTCAGAATATATGAAACAAATTTATAACGTCATATATGAAGTTGTGTATAAAGATGCATTTAGTATAAAAAATAATAGTTTGTCATCTCCATATTACCCTTTATATGATGCTAAGGTTAATTAAATTTTGTCTGTGTTATCTTATTAATTTCTGTTATTTATACAATTTTGAGATAATGAAACAAGATTGACATAATTATATATTGAAATAGCATAACTTAATGTTTACATTATCATTTATATTATTTATAATTCAATTTATAATTATAAATTTTTATTATTTTTATTATTTTATTATTTTATTATTAATTTTTATTATTTATATATTTTTTTATTATTTTAGAAAACATTATTATTGGTAACATTATTAAACATTAATATATTTCCAAATCTAGCTATCGAGTCAAAAGGTTTCTTTATAAAGGTTTTTCTAAGTGTTTTCTTGGATAGTTTCAAAAATTTAAATTAAAGTAAAAATAGAGAGATAACGAATTTAATAGTTTATATTTTTTTTATTATTTTGTTGAATAACTTCAATTGATTCATTTTTAATTTGTTTTTAATTAATTTAATAGATTTATTTTTAATTTTAATAATAATTTTGAATAATTATTTTGATTATTTAATAAATTATGTTGTATTTATTTTGATATTAATCTTACCACGTTATGAAACTTGATCCCTGAAATTAATTTTAATATAGAACACAAAAATATCGCTAAAATGTCTATAATGCTAATTATTCCTTTTTATTAATATGAGAGTGAAGTAGAATATTATTTTGTAGTATGTTGGTAGAGTTGGAATATTAATAAATTATAGAATCTCTATAGTATATTGTAAAAATTCGTGTTTGAATTAAGTCTAAAAAAATTTAAGAAGCCAGCTAGGTACTTGAGATCTAATATTGAATTTTGTACAACAAAATTTCAATACATAATAAATTGTGTCATAATATTTTTATTAATATGAGAGGATATCAGAATTATAGAATATATTATATATTTTAAATTTTCATTGGTTAATATTTCGTTAGGAATCTGTTTTATGTAGAAAAATTAATTCTAAAAATATATTATGTAATATTTTTATTTTTATACGAATCTCATAAATAATTATACATACAGTATATTTATATCTATATCTTGCTGTATATATAAAACATACTTTAAATGAATACTTTAAATAAATTCGCTTAAAACAATTATGAAAACGTTTTTCTAGATGATAAAAAACATTGATTCTACTAAACTATGAAAAAATCAATTATTATAATATTATTTTTATTTATTGTTCTCTTATTTAACATTATTTTCTAATTTTCTAGCTGATTCTAAATATTAATATGCTTGCATAAAGTTGAAATTTCGTGATTGTAAATCCAATTAACAGTCGATTTAAAATCATTGTAAAGCATGTAATCACTTACATAAACTTTAAGTTTGCAATACGAGTCAATGACTCGGCTTTAAAAGTATATCGTGTCACACCCCGTCGTTCTAAAATTTTGTCCACGAAAGTCTAATTATAGAAAGGACGTGCGACAAACTCGTGAAATCTTGCCGGGATATTAATTAAAGCACCACATTTATCGTTTTAAGTACTATTTTGTATATATGTAGTGTTTTGCATCACTGCTAATACATTAAAGTACCTATTGTACTTGCTAGACAATTAGGCTTATTTAACTGGAGATCGAAGGAGCCTCTAATTTGGTGGGTGAAAAAGCAGTCGTTGACGTGAGTGTGATTAAACGGTTTTGTATAATTTCAAGATTACGGCGTTTCATTAAAAAGGTAAATTCAAATATATTTGAAGCTTTTTTTTCAGAGGTATTGCAATTCTATGTCACAACGAATACCGGTAATTTAAATTAAAATAAATAAAAAAATTAAATCCTATTCGTTACATCTCGTCAAGTAAGCTCAAAATACTTGCTAATACTATTTACTTGTATGAACTATTATTATTTTTTTGTATTATTCGTTTATATTCGGGAATCAATATATTTATAGAGGCATTGTATCATGATGTATTTTATATATTAAGAGATAATTAAAATATTTAAAACCTTTTTTAAATTAGTGAAGGGACAATATCTAAACTATTTGAACTATCAATTTCATAAAGAAGAAAAAATGAAAGGAGAAAAAATGAAAAGAAAAAAAAATTCTATCTTCGATCTTCTAAATGACTCAAAACGAAGACATTTTTCCGAACGTGTACATCTATTCAGAAAAGTTAATAATTAAGGCATTGATTGAACAAAAATACATCTTATATTATATAAATTCAATTTATTTTTTAGTAAACCGTAATTTTTAAACGTATATCATTATTAAAAAGTTATTATCAAGTAGAAAAATTAGATTAAAACTGACAAAATTGTATGACTTAATTATTTCATAAATAGAACAATGATTGAAATGACTAAAGTTATAGTTTTATGAATGAGTTATTAATATATTGGTTAGATTTTATATTGCTTAAATATTAAAAATAAACTGGATAATGATTTCATTATTTTCAAAATAATTATTGTAAAGAAAATATAGAACTTAAATCAAGATTTACCTTTAAGAACTTTCTAAAAAATATTAAAAGTAAAATTATGTCATTTAAATTTGAAAAAAGATTTAAAAAGTTACTAAGTTTTAAGATAGAATGTAATATTTTTAATACATATTTTCGAAAGATAACTTGTACATATAAAATTGTTGAATGCATTTACAGCTTTAGAGCAGATTATAGAATTAAAATAAATAAGAAAGTTTTAATCACTTTGGTAACCTGTATATTGTTAATCAGCATTTGTAGTTTAAATTTTTCGCAATATTGTAGGAATTAATTAAATTCATAACTGGATTGAGATTAAAATTAATTTTTGTTTGAAATAGCTTATTTTATCGCAATGAGCAATAATGAAATTTTACTAAATATTTTATGCAATCTTTTTATATTCAAATTTAATTTACAGATATGCATTTTCAAACATAAAATACAATATAAGATATATTGATCATATAAAATATTTAAGTCAGTAATGTTTAAGTCAAAATATTTATAATTTTGTTTTTTATAATAATTAAATCAATACATACATTAAAATTTTAAATAATTAAATATAAGTACATAATATAAAATTAATAATATAAAATCGTTGTTTTAATCGTCAGAATCAAATTAATAAGAAAATAAGTATTACACCATCTAATTTATGGGTGTTTGATTCATCTTAATATTGCATTTTTAATAAATATAAATAAAATAAATTTATATAATTTAAAATGGAATTTATATAGAAAGAAATTTCTACATATTAGTCACCAAACAATCAAGTAGCCATATGTTTCGAAAAAAAAATTATATTAATTCTTTCATGTGTTATTTTAATGAGATATGAAAGTATTAATACAAAATTTAATAGAACTAAATTCACAACTTGATTGACAATAAAAAAATAAGTTATTTTCAAAAAATTTTGAAATTAATTTAGCACTGAGCGAACTCTAGTGAATCAAAATGGGAATATATTCTGCAATTTTAACGT